AGCAGGGCTTGTTTTTCAGAAATTGGGGGACACAGGCCCCAGGGTTGCATGGCCCCAGCTCCAATCCTCACCTTCTTTCTGTCTCAGTGTCCAGAGCCTCGCTTGCTCAGCAGACACCTTGGAGCCCTGTGTGCAGGAAGAAGAGGTATATGCCCACATAGAAATGGAGTATGTTGCTTCTGCCATTGGAAATCTCATTCGTGAGCTTCTACTCAACTTTAAAAACAGGGGGGGCGGGGGGGGGGGGCGGGAAAGAGAAAGAAATGCATTACAGCCTATTTCTGAATGCCAAAAGAGGGCAAGGTGCTGGTCCAGCTTTGAGATACCTCTTGAGGCACTCTGGGGACATCTCCCCTTGCTTCCTCCCATCCCCCCTGGCAGTGCCCTGCTTGGTGCCAGGTAGCCTTGCCTGAATCCTCCAGACAGAGTGCAGAGAGCATGCCCTCCTGGCTGCCACACTTGCTCCCTGCCAGGCAGGATCAGCTTTGGGGGGGTGCCCGGGCTCACATCCTCCCGCTGCCCCAGCGATGCTCCGTATTTTCTGAGCGGCACTGCCCTGTCTGCTCTGATCTCATGTGCTGCCACACTTGTCAATGTGCTGTTTAGTACATCAACAAATCAACACTGCACAAACAGAAGGCTAACAGGGAATGATTTATCCAGGACAACATATCTGTGTGTCCAGCAAGGCAAGATGTCCTGTAAACAAAATTCAGTGTTTACTGAGGGCTCATCGGCAGAGCTGCTGTTTTGTACCAGAGTTGAATTACACTTGGATCTCGCTCTTTCTGGGTGTTGCTCGTTTAATCATAGGATGCTTTCCTTTTAATTAGGCACTGCTGCTGCTGATGAGAGAATTAGCAGACTCTTCTTTTAATGGAGAAGCTGAGGCTGTGGCAGCTGTGCTGTAATGGGGGTGGTGGGCAGAGGCTTTGTGCGGCACAGAAACCCCAGGCTCTGCACCTCAGTTTCTGCTCCCTGAGAAATGTCTTTTTAGGGTTGTCCTGGAAGGCTTTTTTTTTCCCCACAATATACCATTTAGTCAAAGGAAGGATGTTACATCCCCCAACTGCTGTGTTGTGGCCCTCAGAGAGAAAATCTGAGTGATTTTGCCAGTTGTTTTCCTCCCAGCCCAGTGAGGATCCATGGAGCTGGTTGTGTGCCAGGAGTCAGCGACTCTCTCAGGTACATGATGTCTACAGCTGGTCGATAGTGTTTTGATTAGACAGTTACTGTCAGAAAATGTCAGGTTATCACATTTGAAGCTGTTTGTGGGAGACAAGTAGTTTCAGTGGACTGGCCTCAAAAAAAACCCCCAACTTTATTGGAATATGCTGTCTGAAGTGTTTGAAATGTCCATTTGGGGTGTTAGTTCCCTAATGGTTCCCATTGGTTCCCCAATGACAGCTGGGGAACAAAAAGTTCCATGTTCTTCTTCAAGCTGACTTTTATTTATGTATTTTAATTTCGGTTGATTTGCAGTACAGAGCAAAGGGATGAAGGAATGGGGACTGAAACAGAGGGAAGAACCTCCAAGATTTTGTACATTGTGTCTTAGTTTCCAAAGTCAGAAATTTTGAATTCTTGTTTGGGAGGGGATGATGATTTCAATTCCCATGGGAGAGAAAATCATGTTCCTGTTGTACTGTAATGATGTCTCAGGAAAGAGGTCTCAGACATATTTGTGATTTCTCTAGAGTAGAAGCATCTTATAAAAAATCTTATTATCTTATACATCTGTGGCTGAATGAAAATCCCATAGCTGGCATTCTTAGAAGGGTCTGAATCCCCACTGCCTGGCTGAGATTCCCCAGGGCAGGATCATGATCACAGCCCCCCTCTCTTGGTACAAATAAATCCCAGTGGTGTCATGGCAGGGGTCCCCCATGGACCAGCTGCAGCTCTGTGTCCCTTGAAAGGGATGATGAGCTGCTTCAGGGGACTCATGAGCTGCCCTGGGGTTCCCTGAGTGGGACTGAGGGTCTTGAGAGGATGCCCTGCTTCACAGATGGCTGTGAAATCCCCCAAGTAATTTGCATCGCCCCATCTCAACTGTTTAGGGATGTGTAGTTTCCCAAAGCAAAATAACTCAGCTGATTTCAGCCAGGTCAGAGTGGGGTGTTCTTTCAGTAGATGCTCATCTTACCCACCCCAGCAGAACTACAGGCTGCTCTGGATCTCTTCACTTTTCCTGGATGGATGACATGGAAGTTTCCCCTTTCTCTTTCAATCCAGTTTAACTAATTAGTTTTTTGGATATTAATTCTCACCTCTGGTTCAGGAGTTCCCACTCTTCATTGTTATTATGTCTGCCCAGTGTCTCAGATATTGAAAACTGTTTCCTGCAAGAGAAGTGGATAAGAGTATGTGGAGGAGGAGTGGGAGGGCAGGTAGCTTTTTGGGGTGAAGTATTGGGAGGCAGATAGATTTTTTCCTGCTGTGTCAGCACAGGTTGACCCATAGCCCTCACAAGCCAGTGCCAGGGCTATTTGGGTGTTGGATATCTCCTGAGTTGGATGCTCTGGGAGGGAAATTTCATGGGCCAGAGGGGTCACAGCCCCTCCAGTGTGTGCTGAGGATGCTGGGAGAGTTGCAATGTAAATGCTGCTCCCCCTCTGCCTCCCCACATCACCCAGCTATGCCCTGCCAGCACCTCCCTTCTGGATTTGCACATTCCAACAACATCTCTGACCAGAAAGCGCCCATGAAGTCCAGAGTTTCATTAATCCATGCTATTAACATGTCATCCCTACCAGGGCTGTTGGATTTTCCATGTCAGCTCCTGCGAGGAAAAGATGTGACTGTGGGAGATGTTGGGCAAGGGGTTTAACTTGGTTGTGCCTGCGGCTCCAGTTGGATTTCACTGTGCCACTGCAGAGGTGGAACAGAGGGTGGAAATCAGCCTTCAGGGTCCAGGTTAGTGGTGCTGATGGATGAGAAGGAAAGCTTCCAGGAACACATCTCCTTTCCAGCTGTATCACTGAGGTACTAATAACAGCACAGCCTGCCTCGGCACTGAGGCACTCATGAATGAGTTGGCATTTTTTTGTGAGTAATGTAGAATTGTAGCTATTTCAAATTGTCCTGAGGTGCAGCTTGACATATAAGTTCTTGGCCTATTTATTACCCTGTGTCTGAGTGTTCCCATAGGTATTACGGCATTAAACCGTGGCTGAATTTAATATTGGGAGCTGCAGCGTTTGTATTTTAGCTCTAGACCAGCGGCAGGTGATTTGGGCTGTGTGCATGGTGCGTTTGGCAAGCTCTAGCCAAGGGATCTGTTCTTCAGCAAGGATGTTTGAGGTATAAATTGTGTTCAACACCCTCTTTTTTTTACTTTTTTATTACATTTTCTTTTAAATGCTGCTGTTTCCTCCCTTGCTATCCTGTGTCATCACATGCTCCTGCCAATATCCGTGCAGGGATATTATCTGTGCAAGTCCTCAGGGATTCACTACCATGTTGAGATAACATCACACCGATTTCGGTCCCCATCTACCCTCAAGCTGGGTTGGAGGAACTTGAGCTGCAAAGGCTGGGCCTGGTAGTTTGACCCTTGGAAACAAATATTTGAATGCCTGCATGGATTTATCTGTGTTTTTGCCAGCATGTGTTTATGACCCCCTTGGTCACTGTAGTTTTTTGAGGCTCTGAAGCACAGTTGACCAAGTGTTGATCCTGCCCCTGAGGTCTCTACTCTTGTGGTTGCCATCATGTTGGGGTCGGGTCACCTCAAGTGAAACCCTACAGCCTGTGCTGTGGTGTAGCAGCTCCTGGTCTGCCACAGGAAGCTTTTGGCCAGTCATGAATGTGTTTCATGTAAGTGGAAGGTGCAGTCAACTGCACGTGTTGCACGTTGTCTCCTGCTCGTGGTGTGGCTGCTGTAAGCATGCACATCTGGCCGTAACCCATTGTGGTTATGGTCCAGGCATCTAAAGCCACATGGGTGGTTACAAGTTAGACCAGCCAGTGCCAAAATACCCCAGGGGAACCTAGCAGCCACTGTGTGTGAGGTGTGAGGTGAGCTGAGCCAGCCCAATGCTGCGCGCCACCTCAGCACTGCTGATGTGACCCCACCGCCATCTGCCAGCAGGATGTCAGCTCCCTGACTTTAATGAAGCCTTTCAGCAGAAACAAGCAGCTGCAACTGTGTCGTGGGGTTAAACGGGGAGAAGTGATCCTGTGTGTGGATTCTGTCTTTGCCACTGACTGATCCCACGCAGACTACAGGTTTTGTCTTCTGCCATATGTTTTCCAATAATGCCTGCCCACCTGTCGGGGAAAGTGAAGCACTGGGCATCTGCAGGCATTGTTGGGAACCCTCTGTGAAACATGCTAAAAAAAACATAAAAGGCATTAATTTAGGTCTAAGAGTACCAGGAGTCTGTTTGTTAAGTTTTTGTGGTTTTTTCATACCTCTATTTTCAGATTGCCTCTCTGGAATGCCAGCATCGGGCCCTTCCTCAGCTGCAGATTTGGGGCCGCCTGATAATGAGATTTCTTTTGAGTAATGAGATATTTTTTTTTGGAGCCATTCTGGTTATATCACCTCAGATCTCTGCTTTTGAAAAATCTTAGCTCAAATCTTTTGATGAGCTACTAAATAAAAAGACAGGCCCTAAAGGGATATTTATGTGAGAAAATGCCTGACTTTCCCTTCTGCATAAGGAGAATCAGTGTGGGGGATGTCAAAGCATTAAGCTTCAGTACATGCCACTTCTGCCTAAACCTCCTGAGGTGGTACTAAAGCTCTGATCAACATGACGTCCATGTCCAGATTTACCTGGTGAATTTACAATGGACTTCTAAACCTTAAACACTCTGAAAGTATTTTCCTTCCAACTCCTGGGCTTTGAGTGAGCTATTGCCATTTTCTCACCACATCATTAGCATCAGTATTCTCACATTTGCAGTATTGGGCTTTGTTGTGTTTCCATGTGTGATTTTTGGATATGGAGCTGGCTGTTTGTTTTCTCAATTTCCTCCTCTTCTTTCCCCAGCCAGAGGAACTTACCAATGCCCTGGAGATCAGCAACATCGTCTTCACAAGCCTCTTTGCCCTGGAGATGCTGTTGAAAGTCCTTGTTTATGGTCCTTTTGGCTACATTAAGAATCCATACAACATTTTTGATGGGATCATTGTGGTGATTAGGTACAAACCTTGAGCTTTCTTTATGTGTGCTTCTCCTCATTTGGGTGTTTAATTAAACAGAAAGTAATGGAGAGTTGGCATAAATACCTTCCTGTGACACTTTTACACTTCTCTCTGTAATTAATGCACTTAAGCATGATTGCTAATACATATCTTGGGATTATTTTATGGTCATTTTAGAGAGAGGCCCAAGCAGAAAGCTATCAGTCCCGATGTCTTGGGATAGTCTGGGATCCAAATGGCACAACCAGTGCTCGATTAAGTATCTCTGGTTTTTTGGCACATGCAAAGGCTATAATTGCCCCTGCAGCTGCAGTCACTGATTTCCAGGCATATTTTTGACACTCAAGTAGGGCTCTGCTCTTTGCAAGCCTGGACAGAGTCCAGATCACCGCGGGCATTGGCAGCACATCTCTGCCCACTTTCCATCTCTCTTCTCTCTGAATTTCACCTTCCGTTCACTGCCCCTCCTCTCGGCCTTTGCAATTAGGCTTTGTCTGTCACCTTGCATTGACACTTTTTGTCCTCCCCAGCGTGTGGGAGATTGTGGGCCAGCAGGGCGGGGGGCTCTCGGTCCTGCGCACCTTTCGCCTCATGCGGGTGTTGAAGCTGGTCCGCTTCATGCCAGCATTGCAACGCCAGCTCGTCGTCCTCATGAAGACTATGGACAACGTGGCCACCTTCTGCATGTTGCTGATGCTCTTCATCTTCATCTTTAGGTGAGTGTTTCTGGTTCCCCGTCCTGAGGTTGCTCTGGGTTTTCAGATGGGATCCTGTGATGGGATGAGGAGGTGACAGAGTCCGTACCAGAGCATGGCTGCGCTGAACGGTCCCAAGAACAGCATTGCTGGCTGTGGCTTGCTGCCCTAAATTCTCTCAGTTAGCCAGATGAGATTTCTTTGCAAAATGGTTTACAAAGAAAATCTTTCAGGCTGGATGATTCCTTGACATCACCCCAAGACAGCAGTCCTGTTACTTACCAACTATCAGAAAGCTTGGTGATAAAAATATTACCAAGAAGAGGATGATGTTCCTAAAGGAATGTCAGACATGATGGTGCTTGTGCTTTTTCATGGCCTTGTCTTCAGACAAGTAGAAATGTTAGAAACAGGGTTGGCATAGCCCTGTATTTTTAGATTTTGGTCTAGATTTTGAGAAGAGCCTTTCTCTTTCTACAGCCAACTGCGGTGTTTGAGCAATGCAGGCACTGGGAAGGCTGAAGAGAGACAGTCTCTTCCAGGGCATAATGTCCCTTCTTCCAGTGAGACTCCAAAACTGCCATTTGCAGGTGTGGTGCTCAGTAGAGCTGTAAATAATTTGATTATTCAGGTTACTAGCAGAGAGCAGGGAAAAGCAGATTATTCTTTTAGTATCTATCCATAATGAAAGGTATTCTGTTCTTCTGTCAAAATTGAAAAAGCTGTTTCAAGTCCCCTGATATGTCTTATTCAGGCATTTCACAGAAACCCTTTTTGTCTTCCTAATTCAGTTGAAGCATATTTTGCTGAAAATGTGTCATTGCAAAACAGAAAGTCAAAACATTTTGTTTAGAAAATGTTGAAAGACAATGTTTTGACTTATAAAAAATGAAGCAGAAGAAAAATAAGGAGCAGACATACTTTTTGGTTGAAACTCCTTGACAGATTTGACCTAAATTCACAACTGATTTGCGTGATCTTAAGGCATGTTTTTCAGAGAACAAAGGATCCATCTTTTTTAAAAAAACCATAAACAGGAATTGCTCAGGTGAAATCAGGAGAGAATCACCCTGCTGTATGATTACTGGTTTGTGTGGTGGTCCTATTGTCAAGCCCCTGCTTCCTGTCATTTGCAGCATCCTGGGCATGCACCTCTTTGGCTGTAAGTTCGCTTCAGAGCGGGATGGTGACACTCTGCCCGACAGGAAGAACTTTGACTCCTTGCTCTGGGCCATCGTCACTGTTTTCCAGGTACAAAATGGAAAATACAACAACTGATGGGTGTTTTGAAACTGCAAAGACTGGGGTTGTTTTCCAACGCATCCAGGAGAGTTTAGTGAAGCTCCATGCCGTGGAAAGAAGATGACCCAAAACCACAAGTGCAGGTTTATGGGGGCTTTCAGACTATTTTCCAGACTAAATCAGAGCCCTGGTGAGGAGGGGCTGCCAAGTCAGGAGGCTCTTGTGTTTGCAGGGTATGGACTGGGTGGGTGAAAGTAAATGTAGAGGGAAGGGATGGAAAGGAGAAGATCAGGACTATTTGTAGTGGTATTTTGACAAATAATGGAATCTGATTTAAAGCCGATACATGCAGGGGTTTTTTTTCTAGCTCTGGGCCCTTTAACCCTGGGATCTGTGAAGGACTTTAAGTCATTCTGGCTGCCGAAAGGAAAGGTCTGACCAGTGTGCTGTTACCCTCCCTTATGGCTGTCCCTGGACATGGGGGACAGGGCAGTTTGCACAAGGTCCTTGCTGGTGGTTGGGAATCACAGTCTCTCTGGTTCTCTCTCTTCTCTGGCTCAGAAGGGATTTATCTTCTTGTGGTTACAGCTACAGTGGAAACCCTAAAAGCAGGATGCTTGTCTGGCCTATCCAGAGCGTGGATACCCAGCATCCTGTCCTCCAGTATCTCCATAGTCCTCATACCCTTCCTCTGCAGATTTTGACCCAGGAAGACTGGAACAAGGTCCTTTACAATGGCATGGCCTCCACCTCATCCTGGGCTGCTCTCTACTTCATCGCTCTCATGACATTTGGGAATTACGTTCTCTTCAATCTGCTGGTGGCCATCCTGGTAGAGGGTTTCCAGACAGAGGTAATGTCCTCATGCTTGTGCCTTTGCTTTCTTCTCAAGTTTTAGGACCTCCAGATCCTGGAATCTGATTTCTGAGGTGGACAGCAATACCTTGACAGAAGTGGAATGGGAAAAAATAGGATGAATTATTAGGTCTTCTTATTTTTTAAATTTTTTTTGTTTTCGTAGCCGTGGTGCAATTTAATACAGCAAACCCTCTAAATGAAGGGCATAAATGAAAAGCACTGTTAGCATTAATGCAGGAGTGGGAATTGAGGTGTGAGTCAGGCACTGCGGATGGATCACTGCTGTGACAGTCTCTTTGAAACAGTTTTCACCATGTTTGTCATCCAGATTAAAGGCCCCTCCTGAAAACTTACACAGGCTGGTAAGAGATTAGTGACATGATTATCTTTTTTCATGGTATGCATTCATGGAGCTCTTCCCGTTTCCAGCCCTGCAATGCTCTGTATTTTAAAGTACATGATTTCTGGTCTCTGCCATCTGCTTCATCGCAATGGGAGCTTCCATGAGACATCCTGGATTGCTGGAGGCTTTGAGGGGGAATGTAGGCGTGAGCTCAACCTTTTTTTCCATCCTACTGCCAATCCAGCTGTCCAGCTTGGAGTGGGTGTGCATGTCACCTAGTACCCTTCAGAGTGGGGACCTGTGATGCTCACCTGCTCCTTGCAGAAGTTTTCCAGCTGTTCAAGAACACCCATAAGGGGAAGGGACCCTTATACCCTGCCTGGGGCATTGGTTGGAGAGGTAAATACAACCTAAAACTCCTCACTAGAATCTGCTTATATGGCCTGTGCTTCTATCTCTGATTTTTTAAAGCATTCTGGGGTGAATAAATATTATTTGAGGTTTGTTGCATGTGTATTATAACATCCTACAACCCTACAAACAGAACAGTTTTTATTACCATTAGTATTTTTGAAGATTGGAGTTAAATTAATGGAGTCATACCAGAATATAGCAAGAAGAAATTTTTTTTTGTATCATCTCTCTCTTTCTCCATGTTGGTGCCTTTCTTTTTTAATTGTTATTGTTGTAGCTGTTTCTGTCTGTAAATGTCCCCCACCATTCAGCCAAATGGACAATCACTGCTGGGTTCTCTCGAAGAGCAAAATGTTCCTTTGCCCAGTTCTCTCAAATACCAAAAATGTTCCCTTGCCTGAGTGAGAAGAGGTACAAAGCTCCTTGTCTGCTCCTGGTGACAGCTTTGAAACCCAGCCTTTGTTCAATCTGGCAAATTGATCTTTGAAGGTCACCAGCACAGGAGATCACCTGGATCTTTGCACCCACTATGCAGAGAAAAGGATACAGCCTTTAAATGCAGCAGCCAATTTGCCAGCCCCTGGCCCTCAAGGGAGGCTGACTCCTGTGCTCCTTGGCTCAGTCTGGTTTACCATGCAGGAACATGCTCCTGCTCCACCACTGCAGCATGCTTCTTCCTGGGCAGCAAATTATCCCTTGCCTTGTGGCCAGCTGTGCCATGGTGCAACTCCCCGTAAAGTCATGTCCTGGCTTAATGTGTTGTGGTTTTATTCCAGTAATGGTGTCCTTGAGGGTATGGCTCCCCTGGAGTCAGGGAATTGCCTGCAGCACTCCTCAAATTTGCTCTTGCTGTTTTCTGCAGCAGGGCTGCCCCATCAACTGCCCCCACGTCTCCTGTTCCAGGGCAGCGCTGGGCTGGTCCAAGCCAGCTCCAGGATATCTGTGTAAGCTGAAATGTGCTTTAAGTGCTGTGTAAATCAGGGAGGAACCTTGGATTTAGGACAGCACTGGGACAGCCTGAAGCCAGTGATGCTCATGCCTGTGCTGAGGCATGCACAGGGATCAGGAACCAGTGCAGCCCCCAAAGACCAAACCCGGGTTGTCAGTCCTGCACAGCCATGGAAATTTTGACAAACTCAAACCATATTTCTGTAGTTTGTGACTCTGATTACACTGCTGTTTTATATGTCAGGCTTTGATGATAGCTTTTTCATAATAATCTTCCTTCCACATCCTCGTTGTGCTGAGTTCTCTACATTCATCCAGTAAGGTGCAGTGGCAGCAAGAGAGCCCTTGGCTCATCCCAGGTTTCCTGCAGCAGACTGGAGCAAATGTCTCTGGAGGTCAGGCCCCAGGTGTGGCCCTGCTGGTTTATATTTATTCAGCTTTGCAGGTGTGTAGCTTTGTGAAAAGATCACATTCTGGTTTTTGCAAGCCAGCACACAGAGGATCCTCTCCTAAGCAGAATTAATAGAGAGATCATCTCTCCCTGTAAACAAACCCCAGTGTCTAATGCCTGTGTCTGCACTTGACTCTTCTGAGTTGAGTTTGTTGGGAGTTTTTTTCCATTCTCCTTGAGATTTCTGGGCTGAAACACAATCCTGGGGCTGCTGCCTTTATCTCCCTGGTCCTTGAGTGCCTTTCCTCAATCCACAAGCACGTCGTTAATTTTAGTGCATGACTTTGCAGCCCCAGTTGCCAGGCAGCAGTTGACTATAAGCAGCTGAAAAACTAAAAGGGCCTCTTCCAAACTTTAAATACAGAGCAATATATTTTTCAGGATTGAAGTGGAGGAGTTTTTTTTCCCCCCCATTTTTTCCTTTAATTTGGAATTAATTCCTTTAATTTGGAATGTTTCCTTTAACCAGCTCCTCTCATATCAAAGGCACAGGCAGGACTTTTTGCCATGTGGTTATTTTTGACTGCACATTACCTGATGGGATTGGACCCTGGTGTTGTTGCAGGGAAGGTGAGCAGGGGACTCTGATTTTGCTGCTAACTGGAAATTGATGTGTGACCACTCTGGTGCCTGCCTTGGAGACTTCTCTCTGAAGCAAGGAATGACTCCCCTTAGTCAGGCATAAAGCTCCTCTCCCGAGGGAATTCCTAATAGTGTTATCTCCAAGGTGTATTCTTCCATTGGTAATCCTCCCACTTCGTGTCCTGTTGTCCCCATCAGTCCTCACTTGTGGGTTTGATCCTTTCTGTCCTTTGTGCCCCGCTCCCTCCCTGGCACCCCAGGTCCTCCAGCCTCTCCATCCTTTTCTCTGCAGGATGCTGCTTGCTCTCTAGAGGTAGCATCCTTGGGGAAATACAGATGTTCAGCTTCTTCTGGGCTTTCACCAAAGTGAACAGTCAATCTTCCTGCAGGAGAGATTTTGGATGGTGTTTTTCTTGCACCCCTTGCCTATTGCATTCCTATTAGCTTCAGTGGGATTTTCCTAGCGAAAGGAAATTTTCCATCTTTTCCCTTTCGATGGCTTTTCCATGTCTCTCTCTGTTACAAGCAAAGACTTTAAGTTAAGTGTCCATCACATTGCAGGCAAGTCTTAAACTCTTCATCCCAGCCTAGGCTGGGATGAGTTTTGTAACCATTTAGTAACCAGAGGAAAGATCCATTGCCCTGAAGGCAAGAAATTCCACTGGTGGGATAATCTGTGCCCTACTGCTTCAGCATGGAGCCTCTTGCTGCCCCATGGGAGAGGACCAGGCACTGCCACACTGCTGAAAAATGCTGAGGAATACTGGGAGAGCCCCCCCTGAGCAAGGGGAAACACAACAAGGTGAAAAATTATGTCTGTTCTCCAAGTGGGCAGGGAAAGGCTGGCTTCTGGTGCTGTGAAATGTTGGGGTCATGGGTATGGCAAAATTTCCCAGGATGGGGCTGTGCCCCCCGACTGCAGACTCCTGATTTAAACTGCTGATTCAAATGGGTGTTTCCACTAACAGGGCTGAGCAGGGATCTGAACTCACAGCAGACTGTGTCTCTCCTTAAATTAGGCATTTCACCTGGAAGAGCACTGATATTATGTTAATCAAACATTCATTAAAAGCCTCCATTGCTGCTTAATGAAGGCATAATAAATAAAGATGCTATTATACAGCTGCAAAAAAAAAATCATGTTTTCAGTAATTAGCTGGTGTTTCATTAGCACAATTATCACTTAGGAGCTGAAGAAAACTCTGTTTGAAACACTTAATTTAAAGGGTGTAAGGCTGGTCCCTTCAAAGGGCTTCTTGCTACCTGAGATCCCACTCTCTCCCTGTGCTGAGTGAAATGGATCCAGTGCCTGGCTCTCCATTGTAGCCACACACTGCCCTCCTCCCCCTTCCCTTCTGCTTCCCTGCCTCTTCTCCTGTGTTTTTTGATTGCCCACTCAATCCTGCTGTTGAAACTGAAAATTGAACCCCACCTTCCCCTTCCTCCCTCTTCCTTCCCCCCGTTTCTCCTTCAGGAGATCTCCAAGCGAGAAGAAGCGAGTGGGCAGTTAAGCTGTATTCAGCTGCCTGTCGACTCGTCGGGGGTACGTACAGCACATCCCACCGCCACCGTGCTTGTCTCTCTCGTGGTGCCTGGTCACACACTGTGCTGCTGTTCTCATCGTAGTAGCTGTCATTCTTTTGGGGTCTATTTGAGTGTTTTGGAAGTGTATTTTTTGGTTTTTCGTTCTTTTTTGTCACCCTCATTGTTGAGTCAGCCCTGATTTTAAGTCCCTTCCTTCTCTGAGGGACCCAGGTAAATTAAGGTGGGTGCTTCAAAGTGGCTGATGTGGCTCCAGCCAACAGCTCTCGCTGGCCACTTTCTGGATGCCTGCCCTGGGGAAGGCTCCCCAAGAGGCTGTCACAGCCTCTCCACAGCACGGTCACATCCCAGGCCCCTCCCTGGGGATGTGGATGGTGATGCTGATTGCAGGGCACACGTGCCGAGGCTCCCTCATGCAGGATGCCTAGGAGTGAAGGGACCTGGAATCAAACCTGTTTTGATAGGGGTGTGTGTGTGTGTGTTGATGTGTGTGTGGGAGTCCTGTGCTCTGCAGGACAGGGTAAGACAGCAGCAGTTGCACTCTGGGAATGCTGAGACTGCCAGCAGAATGTCACATTGCAGGATGTGAAATGGTCCCGTGCAGGTCCGAGGAAGCTGTGGGTCTCTGAAGCACAGCACACCACAAACCTCACAAACCTTCTGCCAAACTCATGTCTCTTTTTACCACTCACTTCCCTTTCTGTCTTTTCCAAGAAGCCTGGCTTTTTTCCTCAGCCCGAAAGCCCTTTCCCCTTGTATCCCAGTGTGTCAGTTCCTTTTGGTACAGGCTGGTTTAGTTGTTGTACTGCCTGGTCCAGCTTGACATACTCTCATTTCCCAAAAGGATTTTAACTCCCTGTTCTCTCATAACCCCTTTTCTATCCAGAAAGGCAAACTGGGAGTGCAAGAACAGGTAACGGGCAGCAGCACCAGCTGCGAGATGTTTGCCTGCACCATCCCGAGTCTGGCACGTGGTGTTTGGGAGGGGATGCTCTCTGCCCTTCAGACATGGGGTTTGGTGCTGGGGAAGGGGGTGGGAAATCCCCACACAGCTCTGCTTTTCCCTCTCGGCACACATCTCATTGTGCCCCCTTAAAACTTTCCTTAGGGCTGTTGAAGAGCACTCCAGGAATATAAATCATGTAAAATTCTTCCCAGTATTTATTTCTTTTTAATAACCCATTAGGGAAAATGAGTAATTCCTGGCAGGCCTGCTGACAGGCTGAGCTGGGAGCCTCTGTGGGGAGCATACCTGGAGCCAGCTGGAGCCCCTGCTCACACAGAAACTGGATCTGACTCCAGCAAAGCTCAGGCCAGCCTGACTTTACTGCTCCCCCTTGCAAGGTGCATTCCTGACCTTGTCAGACTGCATCCTGCAGGAGGATCTTCCCTGAAAAGCACAGAAATCCTGAATCTTCAGGGGATTTTTGAGCCAACACTTCTCATCACACTCTCTTTTGCCTGAAAAATAACTCTGTGTGTCCAGCCTGCCTGGAAAAAATATCCTTAATAGTTTAGTGACCCCACACTAAACAGGGGGGGAGTATTGGGACTCATCCCTCTGGAGTTCTGCTTAATAATGAGGTATGGGGCACTGATCTGTGTTGGATTCATCTTTTCCTTCTATTCCAGGCTGGGGTCCTTCTGAGATTTTACAATCAATGGGTACCCTAGCACCAAACCTCAGCAGTGCTGGCCAGGGCTCCTGTGGACGCAGCTTAGCCTTGGTGGGGTTTTCTGGGGCTCCTGGGCTCTCACTGCTGAAGTGAGGATCTGCTTGGCTTCTCCCATCCCAGCATCTTCCCCCACCTTCCCACCTCTTCTCCATTGTGTCAGGGCTTGGTGCCCTTTGCCAGAGCAGTGGTTTCAGCCATGAATCCTCCTCTTTTTGGATGGGTATCAGTCATTCTGGCGAGCACCTCTGCCCCTCTTAGGTGTATCCTAACTATACCACACCCTAAGTGCCTTTCTGCAGTGCCAATGGACAGAATCAGGGTCTGTGCCACAAGACGGAGCAAGAACCCAGGCACCATGCAGAGAACAATGCTCAACGTCATCTTCCTCTACCTGAGGATGGATACCTGTCAGAGGAGGCAGGCCTCGCTCAACAGCCAACGTTTGAAATGATACAGCACGATTTAAACCTCCCAAATGATCCAGTGTAAATCCCCAGAACCCTGCTTCTCTTGTGTGTGGCAGCTGGGAGGGTCCCTCATGGCAGCTGATGTTGGATTCTGCCACCTGGATCCTCTCTGTGCTGATGGGGCGTCCATGGACATGTCACATTTTTCGTGTTGGAAGTTCAGGGTCTCTTGTGCCCTTTCTGAACCCTGGATTGCTCCACCAAAGCATCACTAGAAAGAGCCACACCCAGAGAGTTTTAGGTGTATAAATTCAGTGAGATTAGTAGGATCACCTTTTGTCCTCAAATTGTTCATCAATATTGGTCCTTCCCTAACATCTGCCACATATCCAATTCCAGCAGCAAAAATTAAGCAATAGCTTGTTTTTTTTTTTTCCTAATCCCTTTCTGGGACCGTGTTCAGAGCCAGAGGCAATCCGTCTTCCTGATAGGAGGTTAATTAGTCTGTGGTATAAACCTGTGCATGCATCATTTTGTGGAAGGTGATGTTGCATCGTGGTACCAAGTTCCGTGGATCTGTAAGGTGTGGTGTTGGACACAGGAATCCATATTTGCAGAGGGCTGTCCGTGCACTGTGGCCCCTCAGCCTCCTTGCTGAAGCCTTCTGTTTTGCTCCAGGGTGATGCTTCCAAGTCTGATTCCGAGGGGGATCTCTTCCCCCACAGCCTGGAAGAGGAGGGAGAACTTAAGAAAAACTTGTCAAATCCAGCCTGTGAGTAATAACCCTGGGAGGACAGGCCCTTCCACAGAAACCTTGCTTTGCTGTGAAAACAGTGTGTCCAAAAGGAAAAACCCCTCCTAGAGGAAATGCTGTAGTCCCAGTTGTGTCATGCTTGACTTTGCAGCAGGCTTGGGGTGGGACTGTGGGATGCAGGCAGGGAGAGACATGATTGCCTTTGAACAGTTAATTTCCGCATCAAGCCCCAGGTCTGGGCTTGCTGGGTGTCTCTGCTGGAGGAGTTTGGAGAAAGAGGATGGAGGGAGTGGGCAGGAAGTTCCCAGGGCTGCAGCTGGTGGGTGTTAATTGGAGGTTGAGGGGGCAGCAAGTGACATTTTGGGTGTGCTGTCCTCTACCATTGATACCTGATCCCATTGACACCGGCTCCCATTCCTGTTTGACACCCCCTTGCTGGGCTGAACGACCCAATTCCCCAGAAGGTCTTTCTGGCCCACATCCCCCTGATGCTCAGAGCAGAGCCTTCCCTGCGCAGCAGCTCCGCCTGCCCGCGAGCAGGCTGCAGGTGTTCCCCCTTGAGGTGTGACGCCTCAAAACCCGCTTGGTGTCTTCCAGTGACGGCCCTGAGCGACCACCCAGAGCTGAAGAAGAGCCTGACCCCGCCGCTCATCATCCACACGGCCGCCACGCCCATGCCCATGCCCAAGAGTGCGGTGTTCGGGGACGCGGCGCAGGGTTACGAGTCCCGCCGGGCCAGCGGCGTCTCCGTGGACCCCGTTGCTGTCCATGAGCTCAAATCCCCGGTACTCGCACCACCTCTCCCTGCGGATGTTCAGTGCGTCCGTGGGGCTATCCGTCCATCCTGGGGCGGGTGGCACAGATCTGATGCTCTCCCTGTCGCTGTCCTTCCCGCAGCCCAGCGCCCGCAGCTCCCCGCACAGTCCCTGGCGTGCCAGCAGCTCCTGGAACAGCCGCCGCTCCAGCTGGAACAGCATCGGCCGGGCCCCCAGCCTCAAGCGCCGGGGGCAGAGCGGCGAGCGCAGGTCCCTCCTGTCCGGGGAGGGGAAGGAGAGCTCCGAGGAAGGGGACAGCTCGGATGAGGAGCACTCCAGCCGGGCCGGCAGCTTCAATGGCTCTTTGCCTCACCGCATGGAGTCGCTGGAAACAAAAGGGTCCTTTGACCTCCAGGATACTCTGCAGGTGCCTTCCCTGTATCGGACCAGCAGTATGCACAGCACCAGAACTTCTGTCTCCGAGCACCAGGACTGCAATGGGAGGACCTCTCCGGGTCTGCTGCTGCACCAGCTCCGCGTGGATGAGCCCCACCAGGATGGTGATGACGGCGATGATGAAGGTAGCATGGTAAGGAAGTGCCACGTTCTCATTTTAGGCTTTATGACTTGTCAAAACAAAGCTTGTCACTGTCTCGGGGTGCACAAGTAGGTGCAAAAGGGATTGGGTCTCGCCATCACCACCAGACTAGACAAGAGTCACCCAAGAAGGTCTCTAGGTAGTGGATGCTCTCAGAAATGGGATTGGTATCCAAGTATTACATACAGTATCAGATGGCTCATGATGGAGACATCAGGGCAAAACTGTCCAGATTCCACTAAACCATGCAGAGTGAAGGCTATTGGAAGTATATGCTTTTATGGGTTCGTTTCTGGTTTTCTTTTTTGTTTCTGTTTGTTTGTTGTTTATTTTTTTAAAGCAAAACAGGTAAGTCTCCCTGCTTTCCAGTTATTATTCAGTTTTGTGCCTCCACACCAGCAGCAGAAAAATTCTGTAGGCAAAGAAAGATCATGGCTTGGACCCCCATTCCCATGGTGGCATAAGTTCCATGGAGATGGTGGTAACTTCAGAGGCTCTGCATTAATTTCCATCTGAAGAGGAATTTCACTGACAAGTGTTTCTTTCACAGGCCTGAAAATTGTCATTTAGGAAATATAAGCTGAAAAGACTGCAAGTGCAGGGAAGGGATCAGGGTTCCTAGTCCTTTTTTCAGATGGATGTTTGTATCTTAAATGGAAAAAAGGGGAATCTGACTGCTTTTCCAAAGTTGTTTGCATGACCGGCATAGTGGGGCTTGAGTTGGGCACAAGGGTGTCACAGTTCTGGATATCACGTGTGCATTGGGGCCAGTTTTGGAGTATTTCCTGCTTGTCCCAGGTTATCTCTTTGTTTGATTATACCTTGTTCCCAGATTTAAAAGTGTGATGGCCTGATGTGTCATCCCCAGGGGTGACTGTTTCCTTTGGGGAAATAGATGGGGTTTGGTAGAGATGTGTGATGGTAGCAGGGGCTGCTCTGAGAACAGAAAAGCTGCAGATTGTGGACATGATTTTACTCTTTTTCACTGACTTCACTGAATGAAAATGGAATTGGGATCATGTGAAGGGATGTGAAAGGTGGCATTGACTCCAGAGTCCTCTGTTCCTTACAGGAGGAGGAGGAGAGTTAGTGCTGGCAGAATGGAGTCACTCAGCCGTGAACTGCCTTTGCAAAAAGCCATTATCCCATTACATCTCCAGCGTGGATCCTCAGCCTGGGATTTTTACTCATTGTCTTAACCTGCTTTTTAGCTTCCATAAAATAAATTAAATTTTTAAGAAAAGGAGCAGTAATTATTTTTGGAAAAAATTCCCACTATTAGAAGTGTTGAAGAGACCATGCTCTTTGTTGCTGGCTAGGGTTTTTTTTCTCATGCTCCAACATCTGCTACTTTTCCAGCTCACCTGGTCCAATCATCCCACCAGTCCCTTCCTTTTTCCCCCCCAGGATCAAAAGCCAGCAGTCCCCCTTGTGCTGGGCATGGTGTGATGAGATGTGTCCCTCCTCTCCCAGCCAGTGCTGACAATGAACTGTTGAATAAGATTTTTAATTTTTATCATCTGCTTTTAGCATAAACCAAACATCATCCTCTGTGTACTGAGCTCTGGCTGTGGAGGTTGTAATCACCTTAATACCCTTCCATCTAATGGTCAGAAGCAAATGCCAAGAGGAAGAATTGACAGAATAGGGGAAATAAATTGTGTCTTAGCCCATGGGATAGCCACAACTGGGATACCTGCAGCTAGCTGGTGCATTTCCCATGCTCTGAAATGTCTTCTTTGCAAATCATTAAACCAGATGGATAAGAAGATATTGCTTAGATTAAAAAAATGAGCCCCCAGGTTGCAGGGCTTCCCTCTTCCCTCCTGACATTCGAGGAGAAACTCCGCTCCTAAATTAGCCTTGATAAAGTTGGGCAGGGGGAGGGGGGAGAATCACATTTTAAATTGAAAAAATGAAATGCAAAACTACCCATGAACAAAAGAAGAGAAGAACTTGACTATTACTCAGATCAAAGTAATCCTAAATATGCTCTTCTACATCAAAGCTTTGCATCCCTCCTTGCTGCCTGGATTTGATTGTCACTGTGCAGAAATTAAAGGAAGAGCAAAGGCTTCATCTGGATTTCCCAGGCTACCCCTGTGTTAGTGCAGCTCTTCTGCCTTCGATGAATTTCTTTATTTCTTCAATTCTTTTCTTTATTCTGAATTTCCATCCCTCCGAGGGGCCAGAATCAGGCCCCTGACAGCTTCTCTCCCCAGAACTAGGAAAGCAGGGGGCTGAAATCTGTTCTTTATTGCATCACTGCAGACAAGAAGACTCTCACAGAGAGAGTGATCCACAGCTTTCTTGGGTTCCTGTGGCTGTGACCAGGATCAGGGATCTGCTGCCAGGTCTTTGTTGTTTCCAACTGCTGGATTTTAGATGCTTTTGGGTGCTTTCTACCCAAATTGCTCAGTGCTCACTGCAGAAAGTAAGGAAAATACTGAATATGCAACCAATGTGTCCCCCCCTCTCCAAAACGTCACTGCATTTTACTATTGCAGCTGCTTTTCTTTGCCTATTCCACTTTTTCTCTGTGGCGTATGGTCCAGCCACTCCCAAACCCTCTCAGCCTGTCCCTGTTGCATATTAAAATTAAATGATCAGGTCTCAAGCATCTCTCTGCAGCTTCCAGCTTGCCTGGAGGTCCTCTGCTGCTCACAGAGCATTTTTCAGCAGTTCCTCCATCCGTATAATAAATCTTTTATGAATCTAAGCCTCTCTCTTACTCTGAGGAGTGCATCAGTCATCTTTTATTGCCAACTACCTTCATCCTACCCTCAGAAGTGCATTAATGTCTGAAATTCCTAAAAATAATAATAATAATTTTAGAAGCAGCTATTTATCAGCAGGTCTCATTGCTGTGGGATTGAGGGGCTTCATTCCCACTGCTGCCTGTTAGCACCCAGCATCTTCCCACACCCTGGCTCCTGCTGCCTCTGGTGAGAGATTTGGATGGGCTTACCCAGGGAGATTTTGTCCAAGTCACTGGCAAGTGAATTAAAGATTAGTTTTCTTCTCCCCCCACATCTTTGTTCATCCTGTCCAGGTGTGGTTCATGAACAAATAGATGTGATTTAAGCCATATAATTGATATCTTACTTTGAACATAATGCAGGCTTGAGCAGCAATCAGCCCCATTGTCAGCACTTGGAGCCTGCCTCGACCTCGCTGGGAAAGCCTTGGCCAGGGCTGAGGCTGGAAACACTCTGGGTTTATTTCACAAATACCTTACTTTTGGCTCAAGTTAACTGAACTGTGCTGTTTCCACTCCATGGTGGAAATATGGAGTAATTCCTCTGAGTTTAGGTTTCTGGGGATGTGCTTTGCCCGGCTTAGAGCAGCTGGGCTGCAGCCCCAGTTGAGTCCTGGTGCTCACCCTTACTGTAACCCACTGAATAGACAGACACGATGGGAGATCACTTTTTGCCTTTATCTGATTTAGCCCATTAACTGCAAGCTGCAACAATTAGCCAAACCCCAAAATATCTTTGGCATTAAAATTGGACAAAAGGAACATAAAGAATCATTCTCTGCTGCTGACGCATTAGCATTCACTACAAATCCCCTTGATAAATACCAGAACTGCTTTGAATAATAGATACTTCTGGAAACCTTCCAGCTCACAAAATGAACTGGACTGAGTCGTAGCTATTACTCCATGTCCAGAGGCTAGGGTAGCAATTGCTGCTCTCACCACAGCTTTGAGCAGACACCTGATTTTTATCCATTTATTTACCTTTGTTAAATCTATGGATAATTGGGCTAACCAGGCTGCTTGAAGGGATAACACAACCCCAAGGATGCATGCCCTATTAAATGCAGTTTAGAGAGAAGGGAGCAGTTCTGGCTCTTTGCCTGAAGCTGGAAAAGGGATGTGGGAACATCCAAGACAATCAAAACCCCACTGGTGTGTGGTGCATGGTCTGTGTGTGTAGAAGCTGAGGGAAGGATGGATCGCTGAAGGAGCAGGGTAGAAAGCTCTAACTTTTCTTTTTGTTATTCAAACTTGTCTTCTTTTTTGCCAAGGTGACTTTCATTTTCTGAAGGGTTCAGTTTGTCACCAAGGGCTTTCATTTAAACAGGCACTACACCAATTATTCTCCATCACTAATGAGACCCCAGTCTGGGCATCTGTAGGAAGAGAAAGCACTTCTTCCACTCCATTCAATTGCTCTAACAAATCCCATTTTTACAGTCCAGAGTACTTCAAGTGCCAGCAGTTTGCCTCAAAATGAATCCTCCCTCCCTGTTTCCTAGATGAAATAAATAAAAATGCCTTAGTCCTGGAGTGCGGGTGCTCCTGGGGTGAGGGTGATTCCTGTGCTGTCCTTCACACCCCTCTGTGGCCTCACAGCCCTGAAATCTCTAGAAGAAGCTTCAAAGAGCTCATGCAGTCATATTTCCAGGTCTGCCCATCAAGCCCAGGTGGTAGCAGAGAAATAAGGCTTATGAAAGAGCAAGAATTGTTTTTTATTAATCTGCAAAGCACTCTGGTGACAGTGCACACACTGGTCTGTGCATTTATCTTCTGGTGCATTGCACAGGGTGCTGACACTGCTTTGCCAGTAGGATTAAAGATCTTGATTTTCCTTTGGAGGTCTATAGGTGAGAAGGTGATAAACTTATATCAGTTGTAGCAGCCAGGATGAGGCTTCCCCTTGACATCCAATTTTTGATGTCTTTGGTTGTCTTGTTGGCTCAGGCTTTTGCAGTCTGCCCTCCTGACCTGAAATGACCTTGCTGACAGCCTATAACATAAGGATGCATGGCTGAGGATGTGCTGTGTTTTCAAGTCGGAATTAATTTACATGAATTGGATGGTCCATGCTCATGCAGGTCAGGCTGACCATGGCATTCCCTTCTGGCTTTTTATTCTCCCATCTAATCTGTTCATGCTGAATGAGAGGCAGATGATCACCGTTGTGTTCCTGGACCAAAGCTTAGGTCTCAGATGATTTCTTCAGCTTTACAGTGGTGCGTGGACACAGGGCTTGGCCCTGCAAGCAGCAGGAATCCCTCCCTCTGCTCTCTTTATAACTTCTGACATAAGCATTCTATATTCTTTTTAAAAAAAAAACAAACAAAAATATCCCACAAAAATTCCCCAAAACGCCGTAGAAGATTCAGGCAATACACCTGACGAGTATTTGGAGGCACTGAGTGGGTTATCATTCCTTTGGGCAAGGGTTTTATTTATCACGTTTGTCCTCCTGGATAAGCGTGTGTCAGATGCAGTTGCCATGCAGAGAAAGAACCAACAGCGAGCACTGTGAGCTCGCAGGGCTGGCACAGCCCTCATCTGGCTGCCAGAGCTCTTTCCCCTGCCCAGCAGGGCCTGGTTTGGGGACATTATTTTATTTCAGCTTTACTGAGCACTTGAAGATACGTTTTTAGTGAAACGCTGCCCCGAGTCCTTCACATGGAAGTCTTGGGGGGCTGTTGTTTTAACAGTTCTGTATTTTCCTCCCGCTCTGTACGTTTTCCCTCCAGAGCAAGAGGGACCGCGTGAAGGCCTGGCTGCGGGCACGGCTCCCCACCTGCTGCAAGGAGAGGGACTCCTGGTCCATCTACATCTTCGCCCCTCACTCCAGGTAAGGCAGGGCACTCGGGCAGGGTGTGGTAGGATGTGTGGTAACAATGCCTGCCCTCATTGTAATGGCTCACCTGCCTGTTTGTCCCAGATGGGTCTCTGTATGTCAGTCCATAAAACTCCTAGCCCTTCCTTTGCCCCAGCATGACATCAGGGTTGAGTAACAAACAGTTGCTGGCTGCAGAGGGCACAGGAGTGTCCAGTCAAGACCCATAGCCCAGGGTATGGCTGCAGCTTCATCAGGTTCCTCATTTCCTCAGGTAGTGATGCCAGTGCTTTGCAAGTTTTTCACTTGGTGGAGTGTGATGAGCTTGGAGCCAGGGGGGAGAGGTGCAGCATTAAGCAGAAAAATCTGAATTTGCCCCACCACAGACTTGCAGCACAGCAAAGGACTCCCTGATCTTCTCAGCCTGCCTCTCAACTAAACTTCTCTGTCCTCCTCCTTCCCTTTCTTTCAGAGAACACCCTGTCCTTGCTTGAAGGCCCCCAGCTCTGCCCTTCCCAAAGCCTAGCCATGGGGAGCCAGCGAGCTCTGTGCTGTTGAACACATTCCTCCAGACGTGCACCCAAGCACCCTAAGGTTTCCTGTGTTGGAGCTGAGGGCCCTGGACAGCGTTCAGGTTCATTCATACAAAGATTAGAGAGATTTTCAGAAACAGACTTTGGGAAATGTAATACGGTATTATAAATCCTGGGTCAGTGTACAGCCATCTGTCACAATAAATAGCTTCTGCCTCTTGGTTTCGTGTGTGCTCAACCCTTATGGGCTCACTGGGAGTATTTCTTCCTTTATTTAAGCTAAACCTGAGCACTAGGAAGCAGGTAGAAGGGCAGATCCAAACCTGGCTGTGTGTCTGAGTCATGGAAGCAGCTGCCCCATTCCAAGTAACCAAATCCCTCTGTGAACATTCCCAGGGCTTGAAATTTGTGGCTCAGTTCCGTAGATCAGATCCCTTTCTGCTCATAACCCAATCTGCCCTCAGTGCGCAGCTCTGCCAGGGAGGGGATTGGGAGATTGGAGCTCATCTGCTTTGCAAGCAGAGTGCTCAATTCCCCTGCTATGCACTGAGCTGCTGCGTGTCTCCTCAGCCAGTTGAGCATTAATAGCTAGTCTGTGTCTACTATTTTTTTTTTTTCCTGTCTCAACAGATTCCGTCTGATGTGCAATAAAATCATCACTCACAAGATGTTCGATCACGTCGTCTTGGTGATCATTTTCCTGAACTGCATTACCATTGCCATGGAACGACCCAAAATTGAGCCTCACAGCGCTGTGAGTTTCTGAGGTTTCCCTGTGCTCCTCGTGGAGCAAACACATGTGCTTGGACCCCACTGCTGTCCACTCGGTCTTTTTTTCTTTCTCTTTTTAAAATGGGAAGGTGCCAACACCCCCTGAGTATCCTTTGAATTAGGTGCAGCAACTCTCGTGGCCCCTATCCAGTCTCCTTTTAAGGCACAAGTGCACAGGTCGTGGCCTGCAATATATTCAATATCTCATTTCTGGAAGCACGATCAAGGTTTTAACACATGACATAGCATGACATCTGTCTCAGTTTCCTTCCCTGAGAAACCTTCAAACACTTTTCCTCTCTCAACACAATGTTCACTTCTTCCATCTGTTCCCCAGAGGCACGTATGTGTGGTGCAAATGGAATGGGGGAAACTGTTCATTTCATACTCTTCTCTCCCCTTTGTGTATCAGCTTTGTTGTGACACCAGAAAAGCTGAATTGATGCAGGCACTGCAATGCCAGTTCTTGGAACCTCTTTGTTCTAATAAACTATATAAGGATTCCTCAAACTAGACACTCACAGCACCAGCATCCAGCATTCAGAATTTCCTATTGCTCTTTTATTTTACCATAGATTGGGGCTGAGATGTGATGGGCCCTTGCTGATTTATCACTCAAGACTGCTCATATCACAATTGTATAGAAACCTGTTTTGTTTATGTAGGCGTGTCAGGCTGTTCATTTTTGTGGATTTTCAATGTAAGATCTTAAAACTGGAGTCTAGGCTGCTCTCTGCCTATTTTAAGCATTCCCTAGTAGTCCTTCTTACTGTAACAGTTTGCCCAGCAGTCCTTTCCCTAAATCCATTTTTTTTTCAGTTCCCTTGCAGTCGTGCACCAACTCGCAGCTGCAAGAAGAGAGCAGGGCTCCCTGCCAGCTGATGTAGCAGGAGGAGATCCCCAAATGGGGCACCCTGAAAACCTCCCTTAAAATCCCAAATGCTTCCTTTGAGCCCCTTGCTATTTCCTCTGAGAGTTACCACTCCCCAAGACTGGCTCCGAAAGGAGCTGCAGGTAGACAGAGAAGGGAAATGGGGTGACATGTGTGAGCTGGAGGAGTCCACAGCAAAGAGCTGTAGCACACAAACCCAATATTTCATAGAGGAGAGGAGGAACTGTGATGTCCCCTGGCATTGGGAGAGTGCTAAGAGGAAAGGAGACGGGCTGGTGTGAGGTTCATCACCATTAGGTTATTACAAGGGAGCTGGACCATGGCCTGGGAGCTGCAGAGGAGAAGGGGAATGCTGAGCAGAGGGGCAGGGGATCCAGGAGGAGTGCATGGGCCCTGCCTGTGCAGATGGAGCTCTCATCTGGAAACCGAGAGAGTTAGTTTAATTTGAATTGTTTAAAATAATTGTTCTTTGCTTCCCTGAGCTGTGGATTTTCTAACTGCTTCAGGTGAGTTCTCTGTCCCTGTCCCAGTTTCAGTTGGCTTATCAGAACAGGGGCTGCTATTGCAAGCCAGCATGTGGTCCCCACTGCAGAGTGAACGACATGGACCGGGGAGATTATCCTTCAAAACAGCCACGTGCTTGCCAGAGAGGAATGCAATATCCTCAGTCTCACCTCCATTCTGTTGCTGTTTTATCTCCAGCTGCACAAGCAGGTCCCTGTCCTCTCCCCGCTGCCCAGTGCCTGCCCCTTACAGCAGCCTTTTGTGTGGCAGTCAGCTAACAACAGAGATGTTTCGTATCACAGCTCATGCAATCACAGTACAGGTCTAGGACCTAATTAATTATGGACCATGTATGGAAACAAACTACTCTGTGGTTCCTGAGTCACTTCCAGTAAAGCATGATCTGGCAAGTGAGAGAGTTGCCAAGGTGTTTTGTCTTGTTTAAATTGCATCTCATTTTGAGTGAGAGATCTGCATCTCTTATGGGACTGCTCTGTAGGGAGAGGCAGAAATAAATCCAAAACTGTTAAAAGCAGGACTGGGGCCAATTGTATGTGCTCATACATATGTGTACACACATCATCATTCCTCCAGCATCTGCCTTCTGCTGTCCATTTCTCAGTGCAGGGAATCAGAAGCTGTCTAGGGGTTAGGGTAAAGTGTAATTTATTTAATAATCATCATTAAAAAGAAAGGTTTCTGCTAACTATGGATAGGGAACCAGTCCGAGGGCTCATCTGTAATCACTAGCTGCTCTTGCTGATTGGTAGCACTGAGGAGGGCATGGTCTAGTGGATAGTGCAGGGGACTGAGAAATGAGGCTGTTGGGCTTCACGCCAGGTCTAGACCATGGCTTTGGGCAACAGAATTAACCTTTTGGGGTCAAGTCTCAGCTGGCATAAAGCCCCGGAGCTTTGCTGGCTTTGCAGGAGCCGTGATAACTCATGCCAGCTGCGCTTCAGCATCCCACGAGTCCTGCTGCCTCACAGCTCTGTCACTCTAATATTGACTTAATTTCTGGGAGAATTGGGAGCTCAGTGATATTTACACAATGCAGTGATTTCTGCAGGTGAGAGGCAGGTAGAGATTTGTCAAGCACGTTTCAAGGAGGGAACATCTCCCTGTTTCCGCTATGAGGGGGAGGATTATTTGGGGGAAATCAGGGAGGATTTGGAGGCAAATGGGAAGGTTTGGGGCGGAGGTGCTGGCCTTTGTCCCTGTCCATGGTGCTGACGCAGAGCCGGGCACTGGCAGGGCTGAACCATGCAGAGTTATTGTCTAAATATTTGGATTTTCTCCTCTTTGCGAGCAAACAGTCCAAGGCTTGTTTCAGCACAGAATCGGAAGAACAGTTTTCAACCACCCAAATATGCACGGGGGGGATGCACAGCTGCAGAGAGCAGGCTATAAAACATTGTCTTTCGTTTTCTTTTTCCTAGGAACGGATTTTCCTAACACTCTCCAACTACATCTTTACAGTCATCTTCCTGACTGAAATGACAGTTAAGGTAAATGCAGGTGGAGGATAAGTGTGCCTGTATTATATTAGTTGGTTTTAATTGTGGTGGACTCACAAAACCCTTAGGTCCACCAGCTGCAAGCGTGGTGTACATTTTCCTCTTCTGAATCATACTCAGAATGCCCATCATATGCCTTATTCCAAGCACGTTTTACATCAGAACAATTTCACTGAAGTTGCTCTTGATTTACACCATTATAGGAGCAATGGGATCCTTGAATTCAGCAATCCTGTCCTATTCAGCAAAGCTCTTGAGCACATGCTTAACTTCAGCCAAGCATGTAAGTCCCATTGTCTTCAACAACCAGTTGTCCTCAACAACCTAAGCTGCTGTGTGCTTTCCTGAGGACGGAGAGACTTAAGCACATTGAAACACTTTGCTGGATTTGAGGCAGAAGGCTCAGAAACCCATGGCTGTAAATCTCTCTTGAGTAATTCGTAATCATCTAACTGAAAAATTGCTCTTTCTTTGGAAAGTTTTTCTAGTTTCTTTATTTGCAAAGCTTGTACATGATTGCTTGGGTCAGCCACTCTGCACCTTCTCTCCTGCAGTCTATAGGAATAAAATATGATAGATTTTTTTTTTTTTTATGAGAGAGCTAAAAATGTTAGGAATAGTTTTGTGCAGGTAGGTTTATCTGCATTAAAAGTACATCAGCTGTAAAGGACAAGCTGGGATGTTTCTGCAGCAATATTTTCATAATTCTTTCAATAGAACACTTTGCTGGTTTGTCTAATTAGGCTTCTGTACTGGGAAGCAAATAGACTCACAGACTGGTGTCTGTAAATAACGCCTTCCCAGCAGGTTGCTAACTGCAACAAACACGTTGGATACTACAGTCATAATTTGTTGCAACTTGGTGTCCGGGCAGGTGGTGGCACTAGGCTTGTGTTTTGGGGAGAAAGCCTACTTGAAGAGCAGCTGGAATGTGCTGGATGGGGTGCTGGTGCTCATCTCCGTCATCGACATCCTGGTCTCGATGGTGTCAGACAGCGGCACGAAAATCCTGGGCATGCTGCGGGTTCTGAGGCTGCTGAGGACACTGCGGCCCCTCAGGTAAGTGGGGGCAGGGGAAGATCTAAGGATGTGTGTGCCAAAGGTAGGGCTGAGCATTCATGCGAGGGCCGGGGCAGATGAGACGAGCGCAGCCTGTAACCCGTGTCATCCCAGCCTCCCGCAGCTCTGCAAACAATGGCACTCGGCAGGTCCTGCTGAACTGCAAGAGCTCGGGGCCCTTGCTGTGTTTTGGGACCAGCCCCAAATGCAATAGGAAACTGATCAATGCCTCTTTTGCTCATTAAAACACACATCCCCTGCTATTTATGTTCTCATTTGCTCTGTGCAAAGTGCAGCTTAACAGCTTCTTCTCCCCCTTTCCTTCAGGCAGTCAGTGGCTTTCATAACAAAGAAGGAAATTAGTAGCAGGTGGTAGATCATTTTTAAGGAAGCAGAGACTCAACTGTTGCTTAACCTAGAATGCAAAGAAGCTTTTTTCCCCAGCTCCCCATTAATTTTAGAAAGACATTTACTTTGAAAATGACCCGGACAAGATGAAAACATTTGTTCTATTAACTTGGCCCCCCAACTCTGCCATCAGGAAGTATCCCATGCTCCAGGGACAGGCTCCACTCCAATAAGAACCTGCCCAAGGACCAACCTCTTATAAACAGGCATCTGTTTGTGATCTGTACCCCAAGGCATGAAGGTTTCTCTTCATGCTAAATGCAGTTCCTCTTTAATACCATTGTTGCTGCTCCTGTTATGCAGCAGCTAATAAACCTTCCTGCTCAAAGCATCTTTGTGTGCCTGTCATATCTTACTGCTGCTTCCTCCATAAAAAGGTTTGCTTTGAATCAGGATTTTTCTCTTTCAGAACAGAAAAATAGGACCCTGCTTCTGATAGAAGATGTTGTTTTACTACCCCTGTGTGAATAATAAGTCTAAATAACAATGGCCATGCCTATACATATCTTTCAGATATTCTCAACAGCTATAAAGGACATTCTGTTCAATTGGTCTGTATGTGTGTGTTGTACCTGGTGAGTTTCAGGATGTGAGCTGCTTTTAATCATTTTTATCTGGACAGCTGGCACCACTGGGGTAGTTCAGCTCCCTCACTATGTAAGTGGACTGTATTGCTATGTGACTCCAATTCAGGCTCTTCTCTCTTTGTGTGTCCCCTGGTATCTCATGTCAGCTGCAGTTTCTGGGGCAGTTTCTGCCCAGTTGCTGGTTGGGTTGATTTGCACTGCTCCTCTGTTTCTGATGATTTTTGACCCATGTTAAGAAAACCTATAAAATAATCTAGATGGCTCAGGGTAAAAGAAGGATTGATTTAACTTCTCTGAAGTGTAGAATGCAAGTTTCTTTTCTGATGTTCCATAGTTAAATCAGACTTAAAGAGAGACATTTGTGTTGTGCTGGTCTCTGCTGGAGTCACCTGTCTGATCTGGTCAAAGCCCTATATTCTTCTTTATAGATCTGTAGGCCTGTCTGGCCAGGACTTGGGTCTTTTTTAACTGGAGCCTTCCTCTGTAGTCACCTATGTGCATGAATAATCTGCAGTTACGGGGAATAATCCACGCAGTAACTGCAGGCTGAAGGAAGACCTGCCATCTGAAGCATGGATGCGATTAGGCTCTCCCATTGCTATTGCATTCCTATTGCTATTTGATTTGTTTTCTCAAGAGAGCAAGTGCATGTTTTCAGCCAACATGCTGCTTTTTACTACAAAAGAAACGTAAAAAAAAAAGACAGCAACAAGCCCGTTCCTTAAATATGTTCAGGATCAGTTCTGTTCTCCCATTATTAGATTTGTAGGAAGAGAAAAAGCAGCCATCAAACTGGGGGCTTTTCAGTAAGTCATAAATCTCTGCCCGTGGAAGCCCATCTGCCTCTGTGCCGCACATCTGGGCTGCCCTGAGCAGCCTCTGCCCACAGCTGCCCACGCTGCCTTTGCTGCAGGCTGAGCATGTGGCTCAGGGATCACGTCCTCCCCGCACAGCCTGGCATGTGTAGCTGCATCAACAGGGAGTGACAGCTGGGACAGGTGACCTGAGGTCTTTGCTCACGGTGGCGTCAGTTACCATGTCTGGGTGAAGTGTCTTGTCGAGGCTGAGCCAGTTTTTCTTCAGGAAGGCGTAAGGCAGAGACCAAAGCAACTGTTCCACTCACACCACAGAGGAGCAAACCTTCTGTCCTCCCTTTGTGGGGACACTCCAGGGCAGGACTGCAGGAGGACACCCTCAGCAAGAAGCCAAGCCACAGCTGTGTGTGTCACACTCAGCTCAAGGGCAGAGACAACCCTAGTGCTCTGTGTTGGCTTTCCCACTGAATGGCCTGGAAGGGGGATTCTTGCAAAAGATCCCCCCTTATTCTGTCTCTTATTTTCTTCTGTGGAAACCACCCCATTGATTTATGCAGCACACAAAACCCCACACGGTTCTGCCCTCTGCCCAGACATTAAAAAACCCATATGCCAATCGCGGGGTTTTGATTGCATGATTGATTATCAGCCTCCAGATTGAATCCATGAAGATTCAAGCCCAGCTTTATGACCAGAATTACAAAAATAAATTCACAGAGGAATGACATTTAAAGATGTTTCCATGACCCTCTGATGTTTCAGCCAGTAAAGGGATTGCTTATACAATAACATTCCTTCCTAATGAGTTCAATCTGCTATTGTTGGGATCAAGTGTTATAGCTTAAGATACGAGAGAAATCAAAATTGAAAATGTATTCAGATTTAATGTGGGTGGACTTCAGGGCTGTTTTACTCTCTACAGAGCCCAGGCTTTGACTTCTAAAGCACACAGATAAATTATTCACTTTTATACTATCATGGTCTAACAGTAATTTCATAACTCTCTTCTATCTATCATATTATCACCTTTGCTAATTTTCTTTTAATCTGTGGAGGAAGGTCTTCATTAATGTTGATCTGTTGCCTCATCTAAGTGGTGCTGCTTCTGGGAGTTCTCATCAGGAAGGTTTAGTGTTGGTAAGGATCCAACTGGAATGAGGCTGGCAGTGGGTTTGGAGCATCTCATGCCAGGGATTCAACAGCGTTGGGAATTCTCAGACCAGAAGAACCAGGGGGAATTAGAGGGATTAGCATTTATTTGCACCAAAATAAAGAAGAAAGAATGTCTCATTTCAATTTCCCTGTTTGTCATATGCCTAATGCAGAGTGGAATTGTGCTGAATGGAACCTTGTCAGGTCTCCTTTTCTTGCACAGCTGCAGGGCTCCAAATCAGCTGCATCCTTCATCCGTAAATTGCAGGGATGTGGGTCAGATAATAAGATTTTACAAGCCTGATAGCAGCAGGACCTTGGCAATACTGATGAGGTGTGGGGATGCTGCATGTTGACATATTGGAGGTGGTACTAATAATCTGAAAAAGCTGAGAATTTCATTGACACCCCTTAGAGAATTGTCAGACTCTTAGGAGAATATCAGGAATCTTCACACGGACTTGCCTCTGTGTAGGATCAGGCCCTTAGTCTGATGCAGCTCCCAGGTCTGAAAGTTTCCATTAGCAAGAACTATTATTTTTCAAATTCTTTTCAAAGTCTTTTCTCCCAGTAGTGCTGAAAACAGCACTGGCATGGAGCTAAACTGGTGGCAGCTTTTACCCTAATGCATTCTAATTTGAGGAATTCCCTGGTTGATCAAAATGCTTAAAGCAGCCAAATGCTGCTGGTTTTCAGCCCTTTTTTCCTCAACATGCACATGACTTTGCAAATTCAGACAAGTAGCCTCCTATTTTCCCTCTCAGCTGGATACTAAATAGTACCTCACAGGGGAAATCACTTTATTATTTCTAGGACAGCATTTCTTAATAACTGTTGGAGAAAAGGATCAACTTTAAACTCTGAAGACTAAATTCCTTCCTTGTTCCCCAAAATTTAAGGATGCTCCAGTAGTTCAGACCATAGACCTTCATTTTAGAAGACTTGACTTTGGTTCCATCCTGCATGACGGTGGACAGAAGTCCATGATCCCTAAAATCAGGATCCCTAAAGGCACCAAAGGACCTAATTTATACTGAAATAATTGGAATTGAGTTGCCTTTGTACCTCTGAGAATGTGGCTTCCCTCCTCCTGTGCCTCAGTTTCCCACCTGTAGTTTGGCAGGCGTTGTATTTCACCCAGAACTGTGCAAGGAATGTGAGGGGTGTGAAGGTCTTTAGTCCATCTGAGAAGCTGGAAGAGATGTTCAGCCTCAGCCTGTCCAGACCAAGGCTTGCTTTGTGCACTCAGAGTGGCCTGTTAAGCTGCAATACCTGGCTCATTGAGTTGGGCACACTGAGCTGATCTTCAGCCTCCGTTTGCTGAGCTGGGCTCAGCTCTCAGCCCCATGGCAGCAACAGCAAGGTCTCCAGGCTGTCCTAATCCCTGTGGGCAGCTTTGGCAGCCCACACTGACCAGTCCCAGCCTTCCACTCCTTCAGCCATCTCACCCTGCAGCTCCTTCCCTAAAATACCCAGATCTGAGTGTCAGGAAAGCTGGGGCGTCTGAAGTAGGGAGCCACAGCACGCACCTGGCAGAGATGCTCAGTGTGAGGAATAGCAGCATCTGCTCTTTGTGTTTCACTGGTAAGAGAACAGATAAAAATACCACCATCTGCTTCTTTTTGAAAGTGATAACTGATGAGTTACCCTTGACATTTTGAGTAAATATTTAACCAGAGAAAAAAGGAAACAAGCTTCAGCTTTTCAGGATATGGTTTAACCCAACAGCTTTGGCAAGAGCTGGTGGCTGTGCTTTGAGCACTCATTCAACTTGCAGGCCCTGGGGCAGGAGAGGGATGGTGCAGTTTGGCTGTGGTCCCAGATGAGGCCACACATGATCAGTGTGAATGTGTCCATGGGATCTCTGCTGTGAGCACCATGCCTGGGAGAGGGAGTGGAGGAGACCTTGGACTCTGTCCAGGCAGCAAAACTCATACAGAAACAGCAAAACAGTGTTTCAGGAGGTGGAGCCAGATTTGGGGAGAAACGGGAGAGGTGGTGAGAGGACTCCCATGGCAAAAGAGAGACCCAGGCAGAAACTAGGATGTGAGGAAGTTTGGGACACATTTGAGAGCCAAGTTTTCAAAGGAGCCACCAGCAGCACCCAGAAACACACAGGCACTTCCCTCCTCTGACTTTCATAGCATTTAACTGCTTCTGAGTCATGAAAGCAGTTTCTATGGCATCAGTACAAACTGATTTACAGAGCTAGTGAAATGCTTAATTCCAGTTGGCATCAAGAAGAGGGAGTCATGTAACCTCTTCAAATGCCTTTCCTGGTCCCCACCTTCAGGTCGGTGAGGCTGCACATCTTGTTCATCTTTCCCAGCATGCTGAGATGGCTTCTCTAAATGACACAAGACTTGTCATTTCTTTGCAACATTAACCTTGAGAGTATAATGCAGTTTCTACTTATTTTAATTTTTTTTCTTCAGTCATGAAGTCCACATTATGCTTCTTCAACTTTCTGATATGATCTAACCTTCTGTTATGAAATTCTGTGTGATACCAGACAGAGAGGAGTGGCAGAATTTAGATCAGATGCTTCCAGTCCTGCCAGTGAAGTTTCACCTGGAGGACAGCCCTGTTTTAGAGCTGAAGCTCTACAGTGGGTATAAACCAGAAATTGTGATGGTCTGAGGGGTAGCTCAGGTCTCTGTACACAGCAGCACTATAAGGACACAACAAATTCTTTTTTAAGATGAGAGTGCTGAAAACGCTGGCACAGATTGCCCAGAGAGGTGATAGATGCCCCATCCCTGGAAATATCAGGGGCTCTGAGCAACCTGATCTAGTAGTACGAGGTGTCCCTGCTCATTGCAGGGGGTTGGATTAGATGACCTTTAAAGGTCCCTTCCAACCCAAACTATTCTGTGATTCTCCAATTGCTACAGATGTGCAAGCAGATGGATAAGAGTGGCAGCTCCATTTCATGGACTGGGACAGGGAAATCAGGTGTCTTTCCTAAATCTGTATAGGAAAGGATAATGGAAGGCCCTCTCTTTGTAGTCCTAGACAGGCTACAGGCATGACAGTCTGTGTCTGTGGATGGCCCAAGCAAAACAGCTGAATTTTCTGGCCTGGCTCCTTGTATGTTTTCTCCTTCTCCTCTTTATTTACGCAAAGCTGACCCTTCCCTCCAAGACCTCTGTAACTTTACAGGTCAGTCTTCCAGAAGTGCTTTTTCCATCATGATTTTTGAGTAACTTGTAACTTGATTCTAAAAAATTTTCTAATGCTATGTTCTTCATATCTTCTATCTTGATAGAAGGCAAAACTGGGCAGGAACAGGACTGACAGCTTTTGTAATTACTTGCCCCTACAGAGTCATTAGTCGAGCCCAAGGACTGAAGCTGGTGGTGGAGACTCTCATGTCATCCTTGAAACCCATTGGGAACATTGTGGTCATCTGCTGTGCCTTTTTCATAATCTTTGGGATCTTGGGAGTTCAGGTGAGTCTTCTGTAAGCCTCAGCACTTGACCTGAAAGTGTAACAAGCCCCAGATTGCCTCAAGTCAGGGTATCTGTACGCATGGCACAGTGTAAGGCTTTCTGAGCTTGAACTGATGTCAGGAGGGATGGCGTGTCCATGCTCACTGCAGGGAGCTGGACTAGGTGACCTATAAAGGCCCCTTCAGTCCAACCCATTCCATGATTCTATGGCCTCTCCTCCACCTTTTTTCTAGTTACAAACTGATAGCGAAATAGAAACTCGAAGCTGAAATCATTGGCTTGTAAACTCCAGAGAGACCTTGAACTGGAGATGCATTCAGATTCTGACAGTTTGTCTAACTGAACGCTTGCAGAAACAAAGATTTCTGAGTCTGTTTCCTGTCGGCTCTGCTGGCAATATTCTCAGTCCCAAAAATGCAGGAACCCAGGGGGAAAGTGGCAGTTTCCAATGCAATTGGTTTCTCATTACCTGGGAAGAAGAGATTGCTTCATATAAATATTCCGACATAACATTTACTTCTTTCTGAAGTTTATCTGATCTGTCACAGCTGTCTTTTGGAAAGCAACTCTATTTGGCTTTGTTTTGGAAAGGTATCTTATGTAATATTTTACACTAATACACTGCTTAAATAATAAATACAGCATTGAAAATAAACAGGGAAGAAAATCATGCCATCCATAACCACCTCAGCAGCTAGATTGGTTTAGCATTATAGCATAACAGCATCCATCCATTATATTAAACAGATTCATAAAACTGAGCATATCCCATAAAACAATCTAACACTCACGAGAAAATTTATGCCAGAAAACAAAACTTGCAGTATGCTCTTTGAATTTCATCCCTGCTAATTGTGATGCTTTCCCTGGTGACTTGCAGCTTTATGTTAAATTGTCATGACTATTGATGTGATTCAGTGGTAGATACAAGACAGACTGATCCTGTATTCAGGATGCAAAATTCTCAGTTAATATTTATGTCTAATTAAGTGTAAGATGAGGCCAGAGCTATTTTCTATAAAAAGATGATCTCTCAAACTTACAGTTAGTTTTTCCATTTAAATATAAGCTGAGGATCAAACTAGAGGTTTTTAATCTATTAAGATCCAGACATCAAAATTTCTAACAGCATGTCCTCTTAGCAAAACTGTTTTGGTTATAGAGCTGCCCATGTGTGAATAGTCATTAATAAGATAGAAGAAATAAGTGGATAAAGCAAGTCCAGTAAGAAACACTGGGTCTTTTCCTTTCAGAAGTGCTAAACTGTAAAGTACTGACAGGGATCAATGTTTTTACAAATTGGGCTTTGTATTTCCAAACCCTGTCAGGAGCACTGTTACTGCTCCCACCTGAGTGGCATTACAGTCCAGCTCCTGGAGAAGTTCTATTTACAGACAATATACTAAAACCAGTTATTTACCTTCCTGCTTAATTAAAATTTTTCTTTGTGAGGACTATATCTCCCCAGTCTGCCTTACCACTGATAGTGTTTCTCCATGGAAAGATCAGGGAATACTTCTTACATCTAGAAATTCTGTGTTTGCATGGAGCGTTGATTAATTTTGAATGCCTAGAGACCATCTTCCTGCTGTTGATTTCTGGAGGAAACCCATGGAGTAGTGGGTGGCTTTATCTTGTTCACTATTATTTATTGTTATTTGTCTAGAACAACGGATCAAACCCCATCAGTGTCTCTTCTCGGTATAGCCAGGTGGTGTTTTAAGGAGCCTGGAGAGCAGATTGCCATTTCCCCCCACCCTTCCCAAAAGTCAATAGCTTCTGTCAGCAAATAAAAGTAGATTTTTTGGCTGTCTCCTGAGATTTGATACCATCCATCCTGCTAGCATCAATCACCCTGTCTGAAGCAGTAATCAACCCCTGCCACTTTCTGCTCCATGCGTGGGAAGCACCAGGTCTAGAATTAAGCAGGTGGAGGCTCCTGTTCCATGCAGGTATAAATCAGTAGCTGACTCTCCAGGAATTGCATCCCCCTAGGCTTAAACCAAAGAAAATAAGCTCAGGATCAGGTACCCAGTACCGGCTGGGTTTGGCTCATTAAACTGTGCACAGGGAATAATTTCAGTGACCCTGCAGACTGCAGAGCTTTATGACAGCTGGGGCACAGCACCCAGAATCAGAGAGCAGAGCAGGACTGACAACAGTCTTGATTCAACATGAACATCAGCCCCAGGGGCTCGTCCCCCCTCAGAAGTGTCCCCTTGTGACCTCTGTGAGCAGAGATTAGTCCACCACTGGCCCTATTTGCTGTCACCTTTTCTCTGCTGACAGAGGGCCCCTGTTAGACTTCATTTGTTGTTAACTGGGCTGAGAGTCACCAGAGTGGTTCCACATGTGATAAGAAGCCATTAGCTGGTCTGGGCTATTGGCTGGGGCTACACTTGGGCTAACAAGTGTAGGAGCAGAGGCCTTTAGGCAAGTCTCAGATCACTGAACCTGACAACTTAATGCATGAGGTGGGTGTCCTAAACGATGTGAAATCATGCATTTGCACATTAGGTGTGCATTATACAGGCTGCTCAGTCTGAACAACCTGTGTGAATGAGGTCAGTTCCCTCAACAGCTCTGGTTGGCGTGGGCTGTGTGGAGAACCCTGGAGAAATGCCCATCACCTGCACAGAAATCCTGTGGACTGACACTTCCTCTCTTCTTTGCGTGTTTTGCAGCTTTTCAAAGGCAAGTTTTTTGTGTGCCAGGGGGAGGACACCAGAAACATCACAAATAAATCGGATTGTACAGAAGCAAGCTACAAATGGGTCCGGCACAAGTATAATTTTGATAATCTCGGCCAGGTATTAATAGAACGGTAATCTGCTTCTTTGCTCCTTTACCTCCTTGACTTAAAACCTGTGGCTTATTATCCCATGGGATTTTCTTACAGGGCACTGCCAGCCACAGTAAATATTCCGTTCACATACACAGCATTCTGTCTCTGTAAATCCCAAAGGCAGTGTTTCCAAGCAGGCATACACTTCTTTTCGGAACAGAACAAGCACACGTGGCTTCATGAAGCACTTAATTGCTTCACTGCTACATAAGAAACCAAATATATCTTGCAGAAGGGCTTGTCTAATAGAGCTGGACATTTTCAGCCATCTCTGCAACGCAGCCTTTTTTTAGCAGTGTGGTAAGAACTAATTAGTTGGGAGCAGTGGAGAGCTGGAGGGTGGAAATGAAGCCGCTTTTGTCTTCAGCACTGCGGTTTCCGAATTACTGTTCATTGCTGAACCGGGCATTGGCATTGATAAGTTTTGCTGCCAAGAGAAATCTTGGTCATCAAAGTGTCCCATGATCAGGCAGGAAAGGGCAAGGAGGAGTAAGGTGTTACAAGTAAAAGAGGTTTAGTGCAACTGTGCCTAACTGCTTTTCCATGCATTTCTAGGCCCTGATGTCTCTCTTTGTCCTGGCCTCCAAGGACGGCTGGGTGGATATCATGTACGATGGCTTGGATGCTGTGGGAGTCGACCAGCAGGTACAGGCTGCAGCAGAGCTGTAGCAAATGACTTGTCAAAGGTCACATATTTTAGCTCGTTTTGCAAAGTACTGTGGGCTTCCACAGTCAAATAGGGTTGTGGGATTAGGATCCAGGGCGGCATTCAATCCAAGTTGTGAGATGTGATGAGTTCAGTAAAAAGTCTAGATTTGTACCCAACACTTTCCCTCCAGATTTTGCATCATGACTGGTGTAACTCATGTTAGAAGTGCACCTATCAAAGGATGGTTTGACTTTTTAAGCAGTTTGGTCATTTCAGGAGATAAGTAGTGCTTTTTGTAGGTAGAAGTTTGCAATGAGAGATTTACAGTAGCTGCAAAGGATGCTGCTGTCCTTTTTGCAGAAGAGAGGTAGTGCTTCTGTCCTCAACACACATTTTAGGAGCATTCAGTTAAAATGTCTCAGCAAGCTCTAATTTTCAGGAAGAGCAGAGCAGCCTGCCTGAAAGGGCTGTGAGTTCTGTGGATGGCACAGCTGTATCAATTTAATCCCATTCTTCTTTTTGAGATTCAGTTGAAATTTGCCTTCCTCCACTTTGCAGCCAGTCATGAACTACAATCCATGGATGCTCCTCTACTTCATTTCCTTCTTGCTGATTGTGGCCTTCTTCGTCCTCAACATGTTTGTGGGGGTGGTGGTGGAGAATTTCCACAAGTGTCGGCAGCACCAGGAGGAGGAAGAAGCCAAGAGGCGGGAGGAAAAAAGGCTCCGCCGGCTGGAGAAAAAGAGAAGGAGTAAGGAGAAACAGATGGCTGGTCGGTAGTCTTTCCACATCTTTCTGAGTCCTGCTTGACCTTCCACATAATCCCCTCCTCCCTCCCCTCCCTGCCTCCCGTCTGGTGATAATTCTTCTCCCAAAAGCATGTCCAGCTATAAAATTTGCATGAAGGAAATAGTGTCATTTTAGGCTGAACAAGGAGCCAAGGAAGCCTTTTTAATAGCTGCATGATTTGCAATGACCTTTCCATTGAGGGTTATTTAAATTAAAAAACAATAATAATCAGGCCTGGAGCTTCTTGGATAGCAGAACTCAGTGTTACACAAATAGTGACAACTGCAAAGATCAGTAGTGCTGGATGGCATCATAAATCTCAGTCATGAGCACTGCTGCTGATAACTGGATTCACTATTTGGTTTATTACAATCTTGTAATGCCACAGTGATGTTACCTGTCCCATTTATCAAGCAGGTTTATTTATTGGCACAGTAGCACCACTGCTATTCAAGAATGTAATAAAATAATAGAGCCATCTCATTCTAGTAATGCTTTAAAACTCCATAGAGAAACATATCGATGCATTTGCTTGAGAAATACAGATTAGAAGAAAAAAAATCAACCAGACAAGGAGAGTAACTAACTACACAAAAATAGTGCTGGTGCAAATTGAACCCAACTCCCAGCTAGATGTGCAAGTGTGCAGCCCTGCCTAGAGGAGGCTCTACAGGTGAAATGAGGAAAGACCCCACTCTGCCAAAAGACTCCAAAATTACATTTCTCTCTTTTCATTTTAATGTAGTTGAACAATTCAGAAATAAGTTAGCCAGAGGCCACAGGTTGGAGGTTCTCTTCTTCTTGCATGCTCTCTCTTCTGACTGAACTTTCTCCATTGCCCTTCCTGTCCACGGCCTCGCACTTTTGCTCCCTGGTCAATCTGCCTCCTGCTCTCTCCCTGTCCCCTTTCACTTCTCTATCTTTGACAGACTCCAGGACTGTTTAAGAGGCTATCTGATTACGTGCTTGTTGCCAAAGCTGGTGATATTGTCTGTTTTTCTTTTTTAATAGCCTAAAAGGTGTTTAATAGTTGCAGGCTTAATCATGGAACCACGCCACCACGGTGCTGCCTCAGCCTCTCTCAGTAAAGCATTTCCCCAGCCATTTCCTTTGGTCACATCTTTTGGTCCCGTGAGCTTCACACCTGTTGGTTTTGTAACCAAGAGGATATGTCACACCAGCCCCTGGCCATCAAACTTAGGTTTATGCCAGAGCCTGCTTCCCTCACTGGCCACTGTAAAGTAGGAGGCTTCCCTCAAGAGCACTGGAGGACACATTAGACTGTTCTCAGTTAAGTGGGATACAGATGGAAAGAGGTTTTATTGTTGCAGGGTTTTTTTTTATTTTCTTTTCCCTCTCAAGAAAATGCCTAGAAAGCTCTTTTGCTTAGCTCAAGTTCCCAAGCACAGTTTCAGGCTGATAATTTAGAAAAGAATTTTAAAGGTTGGATAGAATGATTGCTATTTAAAGTTGCAGTTTTGGAATGCCAACATTTTTGTAGAAGAAAAATAGATGTTTAGGTATTATTAATTACTTTCTTTATAATGCTAGAGGAACTAGATGAAGAAAAGATATAAGTCTGGGCAATTTCCCAGAGGGAAGGAATCACAAACCATTCTTGGAGATGCAGTTATTCATTCAGTGCTATGAAATACCTAATTAAAGATGCAATAAACAGATACTTTACTGAGGATCAGATATTGCTGAGTATTCAATTGCCATAAAAACCTTTCAAGAGTAAAGTATGAAGTCCTCCAGATCTCTTCAGAACAGTTTTCCCAATCCATGCTCAGTGAAACATTAGTTTTAATTGACTGTGTCCAGCTTTGCCCTCAGAGGCAACAGATGTCATTGCTTAACTTTGTTCTGCACAGTGGGAACTTGAGGACGAAACCAAGACTAGGGCTGGAAATGTGCCAGCAACTGCGTGGGGGTTCCTTTCAGCTGGGATTTCTGAGTGACCTCAGATGCTCAAACCAGCCTTGGGTTGTCAGATAGACAGACATTGACAACTGACAACTGACTGGTGGCACCGTCATTTTTGGTTGTAGACTCTTCCAGTGCATTTTTTTCAATCAGGTGTCTAAAAACTGGGGAAGTGTGTGAGATCTGAGATGTTGGCAGCCGCAGGGGTGGTCACAGTGAGGTATTGCTGTCTCAGCAGGAAGGGTCCCAGGTCGTCCTTCTGCAGTGTTTTCATCATCGACAGAGGGGATTCTTGGGCATGTCTTGGGCTTCCACAAGAGGGAGAAGCACAAGAGCTCTTCCTTTTTCACATATACCTGAGCCCACCCTCCATGAGGCACAAGGATCCCACAAGGAAACGCTCCTGGCAGAGGAAATGGAGAGCCACAGGAACCTCCACAGGGGCTGGGGAGTCTTGCTGTGTGTCCTGCCGGGTGATTAACGCCATTTCGTTCTTTTAGATCTAATGCTGGATGATGTATTAATGGAGAGCTCAGCCAGTGCAGTGCAAGGTACTGGGAAGCTGGCACGTCTCGTCCCTCTGAATGGCAGTGCTGTGTCACTAACGGCTGGCCACCGCAGCTGAGGCATCCACTAAACCATGTGTGTGGTGCAAAGCTCGTTTGCTTCCTCCATGGCACACGCATCTCATCCTGAGCTGCAGGTCTGCAGACCTGCCTCAGCACTGACACTTGCAAACCCTTAATTTACTCCTCGATCATCTTACTTTATTCAGTTTTTTTTTTTGTTTTTTTCCCCTCTGGTTTTCATTAAGACACTGTCAGACTTTTCATGGCTTTTTTTTCCTTTTTTTTTTTTTTTTTTTTGGTTCTTTTAGGTTTTTTGTGGTTTTTTTTTCTGAAGAGAATAATGACTGGACTGTGAAAATGGGCTCTCTACTGTTGACTTTAGCTTTCCAACCACCAGCTTAGGAGTCTGAATAATTTTCAGGTGTGTGTCTTTGGAAAGCTTAGGGAGGATATTTCATTATTTCTTCAGCCCTTTCTTATTGCTCCACAAACACTGTACTCCAGGGAGTAGTTTTTTTTCAGCACGGTAGAATTCATCATAAGGCAGAGCCTCAGTGCTTCAACAGGGAGCTCAACCCCACACCAACCCCCACTGTGGGCACGGGATTTAGTCATTGTGCTGCCCAGTGTGTAAATTCTGTGCATTCATTACGAGTTGCTCAATCCATGAAGCATCTGGTAAATTAAAAGAAATAAAGATACTATCTCAAAGCCTTTCCAGGTGCTGATGGAGATGGACCAGCTGGACTCAACACTAATGGGGTCTGAACTGTCCCTTTTGACCCACAGCTTGCTCACACTTCCCTTTCCCAGCCCCCTTCTCAGGATGGTGCTCAGGGCTGCAAATCCATCCCTTGCTCTTTTTATTTTTAGGAAAAGCTTTGATCTGGAAAGCATTTTGTTTAATTCATAACTTAAGAATATTAGCCTGAATATTTAAAGAGGCACCAACATAGAAACAAATATAGCTGTAATTTTCGACAAAAATAATACACTACAAAAATTGTGCCATTAAAACTCTCACCTGTGCACAGACTGCCACTGCTGGCAGCATGTGAAAGATGGGTGCAGGGCTCCATCCATCTCGCTTAGATTGCAGGGAGCTTTGATTAAATAAAAATTGGCTTTCACTGCAGAGATAACTCAAGGACACAGAGGTTCTACCTTGTATTTCTAAGGCCTTGTTGGAAGTTATCACAACATGCTTTAATAAATCCTGAATCTCCTTCCCATTGCCATTCCTGATATTTATATTTCTTTGCTGTCTTTCTTGCTGCTCTTGCTGAGCCTCTTGACCTCTCCTGTGAAATGGGGGCAGCATGAGGGGGGGGCTCTCACTGGGTTTGGTGATCTGGTTATTTTTTCTTCTTTTTGCTTGATTGTGACTCCTCTCCTGGTCCTACAGAGTTGCATCAAGGCTGTCTTATTTTATGTTATTTTTAAGACACTGAACTCATTCCAAACCCTTTCATTATCCCTTGCAGGCTCAGAAAGTCCCTTAGCGTTTGCCCTTAAGATGTGTAATTGTCAGGTCTGTGCTGTGTGTTTCCTTTTGCTGTCTTTTCTTTGGATCCAGTGGTAGTGAATGTGCCATGCTGCTCTGCAGGCACCAACATGAGGAAATAGAAGGTTTTAATTCTGAACCTGACTGCTGGGAATTTAGGGAATCAGTCCCTGGGTGCACTAGATGAACTTCCTGTGGTTCAGTGAGGAGTCTGGAGCTGTGACCCAAAGCTTGCCCACATCTTGGCACTTTCAGAGGGCATCTTTTCTCTTTCTGTGAAGACAAGATGATATTGTATGTGTGTGTGTGTGTGTGTGTGTGCTGCTGCCTGGTGCTTAGTGAAATATTTTATAATTTTATTTTTTCCTTTATTTTTTCTCCAAGTCTACATTCTATCACAACTGGAATCTTCACAGTGGAAATAATTTATCATTTTCCATTTCACTTTTTTTTTTTTTTTAATAAATCCATTCAGTACAATAAAAGCCAAGTAAAACTCTGTGTTTAAGTAAAACAAGTTCCTTCAGTGCAAACTACTTTTTAACCTAATTCTTGATACATTTCGTAAATCCAGCTGCGTCATGGGCTCTATTGTTTACTGGTTTGCCACTGTCCTCCAGATACTCAGACCTGCAAAGGAGTTAATTCCCTTATTATAGGAGAAGGAAGAAGCTGAAGGAGACAGTAATGAAATTGTCCCACTCTCGTGAATTCCAATTTCCCGTGCCCACGCACCTCCAGCTCGAAGTCACCTCGGGGAAAGTGGCAATTTCTCTCTTGACAGGGCTATATTAGGAGGCAGATGCTCCTCGGAGATATTTTGGCGCTGCATGCTCAGCTTGATTCCCCCCAAAAAAAACACAGTTAATGGGAAGAAAGTGGCCCCAGTGCCACTCCCTGCTGTGCTGGCAGAGACCGGCCAAGCCCTGGGAGATTCTGGGAGTGGCACTGCCCAGCAAAACCAGGGGTGCCATCAGACAAGTGCAGTACAGGGTTTAGTGCCCCAAACACAGCCTGGGATCTCTGAACCCCAAGGGCACCTGGCCTGAGAAAAGTTAGACAGGGATTAGGAATGGGAAATGTTTATCCTGCAACAGCAATGGTCATTTCATTTCCAACCAAACAGGAGAGAACGGTGGTGAGTTCCCAGACCACGTCAAGGGGATCAATTATAATCCTACAGCTTGATGCCAAGAGTTGAGTACTGAAGTTTGGGATACAACCTAAGTTGAGAGCCCGTAGGAATGATGAGCTAAAGCCAAGTGCACCCCAGTCCAGGCCCTGCTTCCCTTGCAGCAGCTGGCACCCTTGGACCACCATCACCCCCAGGATGAAGGGGCAGGTGGGACTTGCTCAGATCACCTCCCAGCTGGCTGCAACATCCCCTTCCTACCTGCTTAGGAGGAGATCTCTCAGGATCCACTGTCTGAGCCGAGTTTATCCTATGTAATGATCTCCAGATTTGACCCCCTTCTCCCTCTGCCTTGGCCCCCAGCCCTGGTGAAGCAGCTTGATTTACACCTTGTTTATCAGCCTGATGTCTCGTCGTGGGCTTTTGCTGTATTTCCTCATCTTTTCTCATTTAGCCAATTCCTCTTCATTGGTTTGCTCTCTGCCTTTCTTTAATGCCATATGTGCCTGGAAGCCACATTAACCTTTCCAGTAATAACCAAGACTAACCCAGAGCTCTTGTTGTTCTTGACACAGTGTATTGTAACGGTACAGTAATGTGGTGTTGTGTTAGTTGTGAAGTTCACCACCCGGAGTTTAACAGATGTCTGTATTTCCCAAGATGTTGGTATTGTTAAGCTCTTTCTTGCAATAATTACAAATGGCACTGTGTCATAGGAGGCACGGGCTTTGAACAGGGGGAATTATACCAGATCTATCTCCAAATTCTCTGCAGAACTCTGCGGGGTCAAATTTAAAGAAATGGTATTTTCGCAATGGTAAAAACTGGTTTATCTTTTCAGAAAGTTCCCTGCCCACCTAGACACAGTGGGGATTTATCCCGAGCCCTCAGGCAGCATGTCAGCCTGTGTGTGGGAGCATCTGTATGGCACCAAGATGCATGGCTGCCGTGGGGACACTGGGGTAGTGGGGGGTGACATGATTTGTAAGCATGGGTTGCCAAATCCCCTCTTAACAAAGTTAATGGAGAAGGATGGAACATTTGTCACTGGGAATTTTCAAAGGCTGCAAGGGCATCTGCGAGACCAGCACCCAGAGAGGGTTGGCTGTGGAGACCTGGGTGCTGGGCAAGGAGATATGGCAGAGGGAGTGCAAAGGGAAGTTCAGATATCTGCAAAAACCTTTGCAGACATCTGAACAATTAGCAACCCTGCTTATAAGGTCATGCACTGGCTAATCCAGGTGCAGGAGCCCTGCACAGGGAGCATTTACAACCTCTCTCTAAATCCTCTCTCTGTTCTAACAGCATTGGTGCTATTCTGTAGGATTTGGAATTACCTGTCAGTCAAAGCTGAGAAAAAAAAATTGAATTCCAGTGTCATTATTCATAAGTAAATCCATTGCAGGAAAAGGTAGAAACGTTGACATTTTTCTTTTTGAATGTGAATTATGCATAAATGTAGAAGAAGTAAGTGATTCAATTATGATGGTGTTTCTTTCTGAGATGATAAGTTGGTTCATAAAAATAGGTCCTATTCCTAACCTAATTGTATTCAAACATTTTAGTTAATTTGCTACTCATAATTTAGCATAATGTGATCGAGATATCTTGACTTTATGGAGATTTATGCAGATTCTGAGATATCTGACAAAGTCTTATGAGTGAGTCAGCAGCTACTAGTCTGCTTTTTTTCATAAGCACTCAATAGATTCAGCATGAAAATTAATTTCATAGACCTTTTCATCAATACTGTGCTTTAGCACTCAGGTGCAGATCACCTAAAGCCTACTGCAGATCAGAAAGTGAGTATTAATACTGCCTTTCATTTGATGGCACTGAAACAGAATTTTTGGCCTTCCAAACCCTACAGAATAAAACTGCTGAGTGTTTTTTTCCCTTTGGTCCCTGGACTGGTAGGGAAAGGTCTGTCTCTATGGAAAAAAACAAAACTGATTTTTCAGGATCCTGCTATGAAGCAGGGAGCACGTGAAACCATTAAATCTATGGATTTGATTGCAATGTCATTGGCTATTGACAAAGTGAGCTCTATTTCCAGGCAAAATAAAATCTTCTAAAATTAGTTTTCCCCTAGGGCAACCCAAACCTGTGCTTCCTGGCATCATTCTTGCCCAACTTTTTTTCTTGGACTACCAAACTGTGCATTTGCTCTGGAGCACTAAATATCAACCGTGCAATTCTTACAGCTCAATAATTTTCATTACTAGTTGATCATCTAATTATGAGGGTAATATTATACTCTGACATTTTCAAGACAGCCCTTTCCACATCAATCTGCATTATAATGCCTCCTTGAAAATTGTACTGAATTATATACTCAGCCTTGGCATTTCCTCATTAGATATTAGGTGAGTAAATGAGTTTATCTCTAGGAACATTTGGGGTCTAAAGTCGATGTGTCACCCCTGAGGCAGCCAAACATGGGACACAGCTGGACAGTGAAATCTGTGTTTTGATAATCTTGTCTACATGGATGATTGCTATTTTCTGATCACTAAGGCTCATTGATCAGTTTTCCTTGGTGTTTTTATGGACCATTTTTCTGACAGCCAAGGTGCTGAATTCTGTTGTCTCTACAGTTTATTGCAAAGAACATATTATGTCTGCACTCTTTCTCTTTCAAAGACCACCACATACTCAATGGCCTGTGTTTTTAGGCAATTGTTAGTAAAATCTGTCCCCAGCATCTAACTGTTAATTGGGTTTTCTGATGCTTTGGGGATTTTTAAGATCAACACCAAAAAAAAAAAAAAATTGTTATTTTAATTTAAATTCAACTTAAATTTCCCTACAGAGAAAAATTATTGTTAGCAGCACACTAGTCCCAGCTCACCTCATCCCTGATGCCACAAGGCTGAGTATAGAGCATGTCCCACTGAAAATATTTAATGGATATAAGATGACAGGAGCCCTGCTATTAAAAATGGTAACATGCCAGCAAGGAAAAAAGGAAATAAAAAAGACAGTATGTTGCTGTGATTGGTCTAGAATTTATCATCTCTGGAGCTGGAGAGTGAGGGTGCACTGATGTGAGAAATATGCAAAGAAATCCCTTGATTTGCCTCTCACTCTCCTCCTGCTGCAGAAGCTCAGTGCAAGCCCTACTACTCGGATTACTCCCGCTTCCGCCTCCTGATTCACCAGATGTGCACCAGCCACTACCTGGACCTGTTCATCACCGGCGTCATCGGCCTCAACGTCATCACCATGGCCATGGAGCACTACCAGCAGCCAAAGGTACGGGGGCAGCTGGGGGGACAGGCAGAGCTGTGCTGGGATGTGCTCTTGGGCAGGGTAAGGCCAGGTTTGCTGTCAGATGTCCACCTTTGTCAGTGGAGTGCAGTCATCCTTCAGCTGGCCCCCAGCTCAATCCAGGGCTTTTGGTGCCAGGATGCCATTGCACCTCTCCCTTCTAGTTCAGTGCAAGATGACTGCTTTGAAAATGAGACTGGGAGTGAGTTTGCTTGCTTTGCTACATTTGATCATCATTAATATCTTTCATTTTACTTATGTTTCACACTGACCCTCTCCCCACCCTCACCCCCCCCAAAAAAAAAAAAAACAAAAAAAAGAAAAAGGGAAAAGAATATAAGAATTTGGGAAATGGGGGTTTTTTGCAAAGTTTCTTCTAAATCCCCAGTGTCCCGTAGAACCTAGTTTTCACAGGAATTGGATTCCATGCTGGTCTTTCAAATGCATTTTAATATGTTAGTGAGCTTAATTCCTGGGTCTTTGTCATACTGTGAAAATAAAAACAGCCTGTCCTGAGATGTCAAGTCTTTTGTGCATAAGAATGAAATGGAAATATCTGCCTTTGCCACATAACTTGTACTTACTTTTATTAGCGACTTTCAGAATGAATAAATATAACACACAATAGGAGGAAATATTCTTTAAAATTAGACAGGATGTGAATACTTAATATAAAAAAAAACCCCAAACAACTAAAACATGCAAATGACTGGAGCAGGGGGAAATATTCTCCAGTTTATGATAAGCCAAAAATTAATGGGAGCAAGCCAAATTTATTTTTTCTGTCCAGGTCACCTTTAAATACTCTGAAAGGCTCATTGCATGGTTCAGCCATTAGATGATGAAAAAGGTTGTTGGCAAAGGAGCCTGGGATGGAGTCATTCTAGAGCACGTGTCTTACCACAGTTGCTTTGCAGCTACATTTTCTCTTTTATTATAGAAATGTTGGGCAGGCTTTTGTTTTTCTTTTTCTTTAGAAAAATAACATTTTGTCTCTAAGCCTCTGGTATGCAGCATCTGGCTAGTAAGTCCAAGCTTGGGTTGTGCTGGGATGACAGCATGGTCAGAGTCATACACATGCTTGAGTCCTGCTGAATTGGGGCATGGAAATCCCTCTGGGCTGGGTGATGGATGGCTGGGATCCTGAAGATAACTGAAGGCCATATGTACCAAAGAGATTTATACCCAAACTAGTGATTTCTTGGTGCTGAAAGGGGTTGGTTTTCGGATATAGCAGGATGCCTTGGGGATGAGACCCCAGATGGAGATGCTGCAGCTCCTGGAGAGGAGGGAGTGCTGCAGTGTGCAGAGAGGTGGTCTGAGTAAAGAGCTGCTGAGCAAAATCTGCTTCTGCCAGCTAAATGTGCTCATTTGCTGCAGAGCCCAAGTGCCCTGCAGTATGGCAGGGAGGCTTGCTCAGAGCCACAGCTTCCTTTGGCATCTGGGCTTGTGCTTCTTGGTCAGATGAGGTGACTTTTGTCCATGGATGCTTGACGCTAAACTGTAGCACAAAGGCAGAGTACAGGACTTAAACTCCTTCTGCTATGATTTCTCCCACTCAGGGATCAGTAAATGTTAGGTTTGGTCTGTGGGCACATCTCCCCTGTCCCCTAACACTGCCCTGGACATTGTTATTACCCTCCTGTTTGCCAGCAGGGAGAAATTCAATGCACATTACTTAAGAGGCCATGAAGGATGTTGCTGCCACAGTCTTCCTTCATGAGTGAGGCTTTTGGAGATGAAATCACTCCTGATGTAGCTTAATGCCTGACTGTGCAAGAGTTGTCCCAGCCAGGATGTACTTGGATTAAAGACCAGACTGACTTCTGCAGAGGGAAGGGGGGCAGAGGAAAATGCAAGGCACTTGCTTCCCCTGGCATGTCATCCCTCTGTTGCACTCCTTGCCAGAAGCTCAAGGTGAGGAGTAATGGCAGGCTGTCACCAAGGAGCCATTTGGCCAGCACTTGCACAAATGAACAAGTGGGATGAAATTCAGCTCTCTGACAAAAGCACAAGAGGTCTTGTGCTGCTGAGACCAGCAAATGCAGCAGCTCTTTCTGCGCACCCCAGCAATCCCAGCTGGGGCTGTGCCGCTGCTAGGGGGGTGAGTTGTGCCTTAGGCCTGTGTCAGCCCCTCCTGGGATTTTATCACCAGGCAGCAAGTGCACTCTGTGCATCCCTGGGACTTTTCCCTGGGACATTTTTCATCAGAGAGAGCCCGTGTTTGAAGGCTTTTAACTGTAATGGGTAAGTGATGATGCAAGAGTCAGGTTTGGAGGCAGCAAAGCACCTCTGCAGAACTAACATCTAACCCCAGTTCTGTGTCCACATCCCAGGTTCTTGACGAAGCCCTGAAGATTTGCAATTACATCTTCACTGTTATCTTTGTCATGGAATCTGTTTTCAAGCTTGTTGCCTTCGGGTTTCGCCGCTTCTTCCAGGACAGGTAACAAAAGTTCTGTTGTGATCATGAGGTCAGCAACAGGCTCTGTGGAGAACTGCCCACATTCCATGTCCTGAATTCCCATGCTCTGGCCCATACTGTGAGTCTGGTATGTATGAAGGCTTTTTGGAGTGACTGGTTGAAGGCTGGGTAGGTGGAGACATGGGATGTAAGCTGGAGGATGGATTGTGCAGGCTAAGGAGTGGGATTGCACCGTTTTGGCCCTTGGGAGCAGATGAAGCAGGGATAGATCTCCACCAAGCAGCCAGTTCTCTTCTCACGCCAGTTGCGCGTCCATATAATCAAGTGAACCTGCTGAAGTGACAAAATTTATGTCAAGAGAAAGAATCTATCCCTAAGTAAACACGAAAGAAAGAAAGGACCTCTTTTTAATGCAGATGAGGAGCAATGGATGACATTGTGTCTTTATCTAGATTTGCACTCTCTTACATCACAAACACACATTTTATGTCCTTGGTGGATCTTTCTCCCATTTTTGCCTTCTTCAATGGTAAAACCAAAACCAGGGCACTAAGCAGACCTTCACATGAGCCCTTCAGCATCCAGTGGATGGTTCCATCCCTGTCACTACATTTTGTGTGTCTGTGCTGGAATTACGACTTTCTCCAGCCTGCCACAAATCCTTGGGGCCTTTCTTTCACCAACATAACTTTTTCATAAGGACTGGCCATGGGGTCCTGTTCTCTCTGGGGCAGATCTCACGTTAAGGTCCACAAGTGTCATGTCTAGAAGTGGCTACACAGACAGCACAGTGTCTGTCCTGAGGTTTGGAGTCTCTGTGTAGAAAACTTCCCAGCTTTTGTTCCTCTTTCCCCTCAGTCAAGGATATCTTTGGAATTGGCTGGTTTTCTAATGAGATGCATTAGTTATAATGATTTCATAACATCACTACTTTTGTATAATACCCTCAGAAAAATACTGCAGATCCAAGTTCTCAAACCATTGAAATGACTGGAATTCATGTGAAACAGGCTGCCTCCCATTGCCAGCTTCTTAGTAGATGTTAAACTTCACTTTGTGTTGTCTCCAGATGGAACCAATTAGATCTGGCAATTGTGCTGCTGTCTATCATGGGCATCACTTTGGAAGAGATCGAGGTGAATGCTTCACTACCAATTAACCCCACCATTATCCGGATCATGAGGGTTCTCAGGATCGCCCGAGGTGAGAGGGATAAAGCAGAATTGACTCATGTTTGAGGTACATGGTTGGTACCAGGAGAGAGTTAAGCATTGAGAAACAGTCCTGGGGCACATCCCCATCATGATGTGCATAGTTCTGGCATCAATAGGCTGTAAACAAATGAAAGAACAATGGGGGAAAATACTTGCAAGGAGCCAAAAAGCTGAGCCAACTGACCATGTGTTTCTGCCTTAAGAGATCTTGAAGGCTGAGAGTTTGGAAATTAAGAAGTAGCTGTGACAGTAACTCCCAGAGATGTACCTGGGAAAATTGCTCCAGTCAAATCAAAGTCATCTCTAACAGGGATTAGAGAACACAAGCCTGAGTACATTGGCTTTAAAAGATGAGCATCTAATAAATTTGAATTCCCATGAGGCTTTACATCACACCACTTGGTGACAAAGTGTGCCTTGTCACACTGTATCCATCTGTCCCCTCAGACACATTCCCAAGTCAGGGAGCCAACTTCTTCAGGGATTGAAGAAGTTGATTTTTCAAAAGAGGGAGGTGTCAGGACCAAATGTTGAAGATGCAAAATATGAGTGCTCAGGCCCTTAATGAAGTACTTCCAGGCCGTCCTGAAGGGTATTGTGCTCTGAGGAACAATTGTTTTGATTACAGCCCTCATCTAAGCAGAGAAGGAGCTGGAGGAGATATTAAATGCTGCTGTGTCTCAAGAGGGGGGAAAAGTGGGTTTTCTGTGCATTGGATCCCTTTCAGAATTAAAAATACATGCAGCTACCAGTTGGAAATGCATCCTTCTGGAAGAGATGTGTAAATCATTCCTTAGTGAATCATGTATGAAAGTGGGTAGCCTATGGAAGTGGGAAAGTAGCCCCAGGGCTGGGAAAGGAACTGCTCATGATAACCGGAGGAAGGAGATGAGTCCAACACAGATAAAGTGGGGAAGGAAGAGCCAGGCAGAGTGATAACGCTTTCTCCAAGTCTCAGAGTAGGTGATGCTGCTATTCATGGGATTTTGATAGTATCCAGGCAACAAGGAGTGATGTAAAAAGGCCAAGGACTGTAGCAGCTAATGGAGAACACTCGACAAAATTTCACGTTTCTCTTCCTGTAATCTGTGGCTCCTGGGAGAGGGACTGAGTTTGTGCCTCTCTGCTAATGCTGCTGTTACCATACTGCAAATGTGTTTTCCACAGTGCTGAAGCTGCTGAAGATGGCTGTGGGGATGAGGGCCCTCCTAGACACCGTGATGCAAGCGCTACCACAGGTAACCCACTGCCGCATCAAACCAGAGCTCCTCTGGCCCGCAGCTCATTTCCTATTGTAGAGGAATGCTAATAATTTTATCTTTGCTGTCATTAGAGAATCACATTTCCCTCCCGAAGCACTGAGATACAGTCCTCACATTGAGGTCATTTTTGCCCTGAAGCAATTTAAGTTTTGGATTAAAGAATACAGCAAGAAACAGGTCTGGAACGAAAAAAAAAAATCAATGAATGTTCTTTTTTTGTGTGTTTTTTCCCCCCATTTCTTTTTCTCTTTTCAGGTGGGGAATCTGGGCCTTCTCTTCATGTTGTTGTTTTTCATATTTGCAGCTCTTGGAGTGGAGCTGTTTGGAGATCTCGGTGAGTCTTCCCGTGCCAGTGGGAGGGTGGGAATGGTGTTGGAGTGGGGGGCTCTCACAGCTGTGCTTGGTCTTACAGAGTGTGATGACACACACCCCTGCGAGGGGCTGGGACGGCACGCCACGTTCAGGAACTTTGGGATGGCCTTCCTGACCCTCTTCCGAGTATCCACAGGAGACAACTGGAATGGCATAATGAAGGTAAGTGTTAAGGTTTTATCAGCAAGTGTATTGCTGTTCTAGGCATGAAATTTGCCAGATCTTCTCAGTTTTCTTCATGAAAGGAGAACCCATTGCCGACTGTGGTTTATGCTACAATCTCTTCACATCCCTCCATCTCTTAGCATCATGGTTTAGTGGATAAGTTGGTGTTAGGTGATAGGTTGGACTTGATGATCTCCAAGGTCTTTTCCAGCCTGGTTGATTCTGTGATCATTCCCCCGCTGTTTCCAGGACACGCTGCGTGACTGTGACCAGGAGTCCACCTGTTACAACACCGTCATTTCCCCCATCTACTTCGTCTCCTTCGTGCTGACAGCCCAGTTTGTCCTGGTGAATGTGGTGATCGCCGTGCTCATGAAGCACTTGGAGGAGAGCAACAAGGAGGCAAAGGAGGAGGCAGAGCTTGAAGCAGAACTGGAGATGGAGATGAAGACCATCAGCCCTGGCCAGCACAGCCCCTCGGACATCTTTGCGTGGACTGGCACCGCCAGCGGAGAGAGACCCGAGAGCCCGCGCGGATTTACCAATCCCATGCAGATCAAGGTGGATTCTCAGCTCTCTCTAGCTTATCATATGGTGAGAATCTCTGTTGGAGGGTGAGGAGGGCTTGACCTGCATTTTTGTTGGTGAAGACTTGCACGAGTTGGTAGTGAAAGAGGCGTGTACCAGATGTTCTGGGCTTGTATTCCCTGCTGTCTGCTGCTGACTCTTGTGTGGTTTGGGAGCCAGTGCTGCAGGGGAGAGACCCCAGGCAGGTCTCCAGCCCATCTTGATGCATCTGTTCGGAGGGGGAGAGTTTTGCAATTTACTCTGGGTGCCAGCTCAAGCTGCAGAGTTCACAGCTAGCTCCAAATTTACTCTAATTCAGAGTTTTGACTGGTTCTTTGTGATAGCAAAATCATGAGCGTAATGTGTTTGCTTTTCTAATACAGACCATGAACACCAACATAAAAGAGGAATAAAACTTGGCTAATCTTTGCTTCGGTATTAAATTTGTTTTATGTAACCTCAATTTAAAATCCATCCCCACAGTCAGGCTTGTAAGAAAAGATTCTTTTAGCAGCAGAATAATCCAGAGGAGACTTAAACCTGAGCTCACCAGAGCTGGTGGCAGAATTCCCACTAGCAGAAGCATGGGTGTAATGTGGGAGCTGCTACGAGCTGTACTACATCCCCCTAAAGCACAGTTTTTGGATGAAAACTCAGTTTGAGGAATGAGAGGTGAGATCAAGTCCCAGACAAGTTATTTGGGAGGTCACAGCTGAAATTACTCAGGAAATACAGTCCAGCCTTTTTTTTAGTCTTAGCTGATTGCAAATTGGGTTAAATTCTATGCAGACCTCATTAACTTTTATTACATCATGATTTCACAACAGCATCTCTTGGCTGCAGCCTGGGGTGGACTAATGCATATTCTAATGCATGAAAAACTCATTTATGATTTTTAGTCCAAGGGTGAAAGAGAGTAAATCCCCGCTTAATCTTTGTTTCAGTTCCTAAGCTACTGGAAATTTCTGGTGCCATTAGAATCTCTGATGGAGTCCAAAGCTGCTCTTTGGCTCAGGAAAAAGGAGTTCAGGGCCCTATGGGGAAATCCACGTTTACTATGTCCTCTAGGAAGAAGCAACACATCCCAGCTGGTGCTGCATGTGTTGAGCAGAGTACTGGCAAACTGTCCTCAGTGCTCTTGTCCTGCACCAGGACTGAAACTGGCATAAAAGAGAAATTGCAAAACTGCGAGACAAATCAGTCAGAGTGATACCCTCACTCTGCAGTCTGTTAAATCTGCCCTCTCTGAAGGCGGCCTGGGAAAGGGTTTATTCTAGTCATAACCTTCAGAGTTTCTTGCTCTTTCCCTCAAACAGAAGCCTCAAAAAACTCCAGGAGATCTTATTCTGACTATTTATTTTCCCAACCAAGATCTTCAGGACAAATCTGATGCTTGAACTTGCTAGCAGAGGAATACAATTCCCAGGACACAGCCCTGCAAGGACAGCATGCTCTTTTGCTTGACTCTTTCCTGGGATTTTTGCACTGTGTGCTGTTTGACTGTAGTGCTGGTCCTCATCTCATTGTATGCATTGGGCATTCCCTACATGGAAGGTGCAGCCTGAAATCACTCCCCTGCTGCCAACAAAAGGCAGACCCTGCTATGCACAGCCCCAGTGCTGTGGCCAGCTGGTTTGACATTGGCCAGGAGACCAGGGGCACCTCAGCCCATGTCTGGCACATGAATGAGTGACCTGACACTGATGTCCATCCTGCTCAGCTGCAGCTTCCATGGACAGGACACTCAGCTTCTCTTCAGTCAGGTTATTTTAATTTCTGTGCCATCTGGATATGGATTTCAGTGTCAAGTATTAGGTCCTGCAGTGCAAAAGCATGGACCATGCGTGTAGAAGTCTTGCAGCAAGTTGGAGTTGACAGCACCGATGGAAAAATGCTGCTCAGCCCCCAGAAATGACTGGCCATGTTTGCTGAGAGGGAGATTGTCCCCAAGAAGGACCCCGGGTGGGAGCAGCCATGGTCTTGGGGCAGCTGCCATCACCCCATCTCTCGTAATGTCTGGGAAAGCTGTCTCTGCTCACCGTGATATTACTGCACTGTTCTCTCTCCTCCTTTTCTCCTGTCCCATTGTTCCTGTTACTGTGTTCTCCTTGAATGTTTCCACCTTTTTTTCCCCCTTCTATTTTTTTTCCCCTCATTTTGTTCATTGGGTTTGATATGCTGTCCTTTTTTCTCTCTGTTTCTGTCCCTCGCCTTTTTCCTCCTCTCTTTTTGGCTTGCTCTTTCTCTCTCTGCATGCTATATACCACCCTTCCTAGGAAAGGCACTTGTTTGATACCATATCACTGCTGATCCAGGAATCTCTGGAAGGAGAGCTGAAGCTGATGGACAACCTGTCAGGCTCTGTGTGCCATCATTATGCCCTCCCAGCTCCCGAATATTACAACTCTGAGAACCAGGTTAATATTCCTAATTTTCTGCAAAGTCTCCATCAAAACTCAATTTGACTGAGACCTTTAATAGCAAGTTAAAGTTCTTTATGTAATGCAGTCACAGGGATTTGGAAGCATAAGTCACTTTGGCTTTTTCTGTGGGAGTAGATGATGTTGTATATCAATGCAAGAGCAAGAGAACATCCTCGGACTTTCCCTTGTCAGTACAGTAGAAGTTTTTCATTGGGATTTACAGTTTATGGGTGTTAGAGGGGAAATGCACAAAATTCCATTTCCATCCTTCAGTGGGGTTCTTATATTTGGCTCCTAAGCAAGGCTCCACAGCAATGTCAGGGCATGTCTGCAGAGCCTGAGCTTTTCTTAGAGCAGAGCCTGAGCTGCTGGGGCTCATCAAATGTGTTCTGTGCCTATTTGTACTGTGTGAAAATCCAGTTTTGAAGGGTTTTCCTAAAGAGCCTTCTTGCAAATGGGTCAATGTAAACTAGATCCTCATCTCTGATCTAGTGAATTTAGGAGGGGAGGCAGCCCTTAATGATGCACAGAAGTAACTGTGTGCTCCAGTGCTTCCTCAAGCAGACAGTGCTTGTTTAAAATTAGTCTATTTACTTCCTAGAATAAAATACCTACTTTTTAAAGTGCATTATTCTTTAGAGCAAATATTTTCCCTAAAACACAGCAGTGACCATAATAATAATTCAAGCGCACCTATTTTTTGCTGCAGTTGGAATTGAGCAAATTCCATATTTCTTGATCTATTCCTGTGCCCCCCCCCACCCCCACCCCCCCGGCTAAAAATAGCAGAAGTCTTCTTGTTAAAACAGTGTGCTTGTTTATGAGCTCGCTGACACTCTAAATTACCCAACTTTTGATGGTTCATTAGAGGAAAGGAACAAGCTTAGGTAAAATGAAATCCTTCTGCAAATCTTTATATAGCAGGATTACATGTCTCCCTCTGATTGCTCCACATTGCATCCTAGAGTCTATTAAGCTATAGGAAATGGTTGTCTCTAATAATTGCCAGAGGAATAGAGACAGAAGCTTTGGCAGGGAAGACAGAGGGTCAGTAGGAAGCTCAGTGAGAGGTGGTTGAAAATTTTTTGTCACAACATTTTTCACCAGAACGTGCTGCTGCAGAAAAAAAAAAAAAAAAAAAAAAAAGGTTTGTTTTGACAATTCTGTAATGAAAAAATATAGCATTCCAGTTTGCAATGGCTTTTTATTATAAAATTCAAGCATTTTTTTACCCCCTCGTCTATAATTAAAACTGGTCTAAATCAGTTGGATGTTTCCAACAAAATGTTTTGACAGCTTCAAACTGAATTTTGGGTTTGGGAAGGCTGAAGTGGGGTGATGTTTTGTTTACATTTTGGCTTTTCTGTTCACACCATTTGTCATGTTCTCAGGCAACTCAGGAATTTAGAGCAGTGCTGGGACTTGCTGAAAGCAACCTGATTAATAGCAGCTCCCAGCAGGGCAGCTCCAGCAAGCAGGAGCTTCTGGAGTCCACCACAGCTTTTTCCTGGCTCTGGTTGGTGGGTCCCTCTTAGGGATTCCTGTCCTAAGGCTGGCAGCCTTCACAGTGATGCCTTTTAGGGGAGCCTCATATTAATTCAGGGGCTCCAAATCATCTCTCTTATCCATTGCCAGCAGATAAGTGTGCTAGAAGAGATATCAAAGCCAAGGTTAGATGAGAGGAGTCCGACCCTCTTACTTATCTCAGCTGAATTTTGAGCCTCTCCAGGCTCACTCATCGCTGGGTTTGTTCCATCCCGTGGCTGCCATTTCTAAGAGTGAGAAAACCCAGTCCTTCGACAACTTCAGTGCAAGACATCTGGGCCTCTCTGTTTTCTCTTGGAAGATTTATTGCTGCTGAAAGGCTTTTCAAGCACAGAGGATGGCAAAAAAACGCACAGTGAGCAGTTAAAAGGAAGCACCTGGGACTTGCCTAGAGCAGGCAGGCCCTGTGAGCGTGAGCTGGGTTTGGACATTACCTGGTGAAATGCCATTCCTGGTGTCATAAGCACTGTATCCAGGGAGGGGATTTGGGGACAACTGAGCCTGCTGCAGGGCAGACACCCCCTCTTACAGTGCCTGGCAGCAGAGCAGCTGCTCTGGGGAAGATGCCACTGTCCCCTTTTCCCCCTCTTCTTCCTCCGAAATCTGAAGTGGCATTTTCACATTTCTTATTAAAAAAACCCTCTGTGTCTAGGGAGAGAGTTTCATCAATGATTTGATGAAACATTCATAGATTGTTTGAATGTCTTCAGTGGGGATCCGTTTGTGCAGGATACACGAAAACAGGAGCGCGGCTGTGCGGAGCTGATTCCCAAGTCAGGATTTCTCAGTGCCAGAGGAGACAGCTGGGGCCAGCCCTGAGGGGCATTTGGGGGCTGAAAAACGCAGTTGGCTGTTTTACTAAGTCAATTATTGGTGCCACTGGATGCTCTATAGCCAGCCAAAATGAGCTGAAAGCACCAGGAAGGTGATTGCTGACCAAAATAAAGTATTAAGTTTCTCCCTGTGCCCTTTTATCCATGAGGAAGTGAATTATGGTCCCACCTGCCTTTTGGGGGGGTGTGGGGTGTGGTCCCTGCAGCCTCCCTAGGGCACAGGGAGAGGCACACCCCATACCCCACCTGAAAATATGGTTTTGTTGTTGGGGAATCTTTGGAGTTTAACAAGTTTATACTCAACAAGTTTATCTTAGAAACCAGGATGGTTATTGAGGGGGAACAACTTCAGAGAAATCAGATCTTGAAACCTCTTGTATTTGATCACAGCCAAGAGAATTAATCTCACTATTATTAGAGCAGTGTTACTTTTGCTTCTTCATGTAGACAGAAGAACAGCAAAATACAATGCTAGCATTAGTGTATGGTTTTAAACCCCTGCCAGACCTTGGTAAGCACTAAAGTAAAAATGTCCCACTCCTTTTTAAATTTCTTCATTATATTTAATTTCTTTAATGTTCTGTCCCTGGTAACAATGTGTATGATGTAGCTTCTCCCATTGCAGGGATATTGCTTTAGTGTCTAGAAGTATTTAGATTATGATACTTTTTTTTTCTTTTTTTTTTCTTTAATTTTGTTTTCTGAAAGATTTGTGTCCTGGTTTCTTATGTTTAATCATTTCTCCCTTTAGATCCCTCTAGCTGAGATGGAGGCTCTATCTCTGACGTCAGATATTCTCTCTGAAAAGTCCTGGTCCTTAGCTCTGACGGATGACTCTTTTCCTGATGACATTAACACACTCTTACTTAATGCTCTGGAAAGCAATGTACATACACTGGTCACTGTGTAGTCTGATGTTTACAGGGTTCGAAATACTGCTCCCATCTCTCTGCACCTGCCTAATGGCATTTCCAGTTCCAGCCCCTTCCCAAACAGCACCAACCTCTTCCCTGAACAGGATGCTGTCCTTAATGCCATTAGGTCCTGGGTTTTGTCACTCTTGTCCACAGTCTTGGCTCCTTGTGAGGAATGAGTGGTTATTTCAATTTTTCTTTTGGTGTCTTATGTATAAACAATGTGTTTTCTACAAGTAAAATAAGTAGTAAAAAAAAAAAAAAAAAAGGCTTTGGAAAGCATCAAGGTTGAAATTTCCTCCCCATCTGAAACAAATCAGTGATGTTGTGTGAAGAGACACCCATGAGCTAATGACCCATGTCCTCTGCTGAAGGGTCAGCCCCAACACTTCAGTTTGGAGTAGATTTTTGTCATTATGAACACAGGCACCACAAGGCTTTTTGCATGGTGGGTGCCAGACTGTTTCTTTTACAAATATCAAATGGGGATCTCTCCAAGATGATACTTGTTTCGCAAATTCTTTCTAGCAGTCACTATGCTGAAAAAGAAAAAAAATTGACTATTCAGTGCTTTTTTTAACTGACATAACCAGTATTTTGAACCCTGCATTCACCATCTCCTCTTTGAAACATTAGACATTTTTAGCTGTGTAGCAGTCAAGTGCTTTTTTCTGCTGTACAACAGACATAACTCCTTTCCCAAAATTTTAAATCATTCTTGTTTTCTTTGTTGTTGTTCATGTACCTACCTTTGGATGTTTGTGTTGCTCATAAATTTTCTGCCATATTAGTTGACTGTCATCCTAATTAGCACTTATTTGAGAAAAATCTCTTAAACCGTGACAATATTTCCCATCATGCTTCATGGCATCCTGTGCAAAAGATTTTGTAAACTCTGTTTTACTTCTTGTACGAGGCTTTCTGTTTCAAAATTAGCATGGAGAGTTGGACAGAGGAGAAACCCTCCTAGTTTTGAATCAGATTAGAGAACCTTGTTTGACAGCACTGCAAAGTCTCAAAAGTACAGACAGGAAAGATGTTTTTTCTCCCCTCTCCAAAAAAAAAAGCAAAACTGCATTGAACACAGGGTTTTGTGAATTTTTATCACTACCAAAAAAGTTTTTGGTCACAACAGTTGCCCAAACCCCTGAAAAACTGCAAACTTTCATTGAAATCTCTTCTAAATGCAATATTTTTACACTTCATTTAGATGTGGCTTTAGTTGAAAAATATTTGGATTGAGTTTTTTTGTTTGGTTGGTTGGTTGGTTTGGGTTTTGGTTTTGTATTGTTTTTGGGTTTGTTTTCTGGTTTGTTTTTTGTGGGTCTTTTTGGTTCAAGGAAAACTTGGATTTGATTTTCAGTCAAGCCAAAACAACATGTTTTTCTAAAGTACCACTGAACCAAAAAGTCATGTGCTCCCACTGCTCTGTAACCTGACCTGGGAAGATAATTTTGCAGCCATTTTCAAGGTTTTTCATGAATTTCACTCATGAGATTTCCCCCAAGATGATCCAAAAGTGGAAATAACCTATATTGGATCCGGTCAATGAACCTAAAGGTTCACTGAAGGTTGGATTTGGATGGGGTCTCAAATCCAAGTTCTCATGTTCAGATTCAAATGGGTCTGAGTTTGAGATCTCAGGTTTCAGGCCACTTTTTCTGCTTTAAGCTCAGTAGCATGACAGCAAAACAGCATGCAGTGGGTAGAAGGGGAAGGCAGGGAGGGACAGAGAGGTTCCCAAATCCAAACTCCCAGTTTTACCAGCACAGGTTTTGCACTCCTTCCCCTAGCTGTATCAGGAGATTGCAGTCTCCCTTATCTAGTCTGTGTCCAAGCTCTATCCAAATCAGCAGTTTCCCAAGGACTGAAACAAATGCTGAGTGGCAGTGCAGACCTGTTTTGTTCATTAAATTTGCATCGGTGATCTCCTTTTCTTTTTTCTCTTCCCCGTCTTTTCTTCTTTTTTTTTTCTTTTTTTTTTTTTTTCTTTTTGCAAATTCCTTTTAATCTCATCCTGTTTCTTGTGCAAATAAATGCCATAGTGAAATTTTGGTTTTAATGACTGAAGGATAAAATTGGGATCAAAAAAATCTGTGTTGATTCCAGAAAACCTATGATGCACTGAGTAAAGGGAAAATTTTTCAGAAAAAAAGATCTAAAGATCTCATAAGAATGATCAGCCAAATACTGTACTAGACTACAGTGGCATAAACTTACTCCTGTGTTTTTCACTTGAGACATTTTAACAATTAAATAATTGTTTCATTAGAAATACACTGGAAAGATGACTCTGCTTCCATTTTTTGAATACTCTCCAAGACAATAACACCCAAGAACATTTCTGGGATGGAGATATTTTCTTATGAAATCAGATCTGAATCCACTCAATATTGCCTCTGGGGCTGCCCATTCCAAGAGTCTCTTTGGCTGTAAAAATTCCACAGTCAACATATATACAATAACCCTTGCTTGCATTAGATCCCTTCTAATTAGAGAATGGCTTTCACCCTGAAGCAGTAGGTTTAGATATCCTTTTCAATAAAATAGGTTTAGTTATTCATTATGTGAGAAGAAAATCCAATAAAATTGTGCTGTGAGCCAGAACAGAAAATATTTTTTATAAACTAGTTTTTGCATTTGGGTTGGGGTTCTTTTGTTTGTTTTTCTTTCTTTTATTGTCAGAAGAGGAAACTACTCACCTTTGCAAAAGCCTGCCTTGCTGATGAGGGCACCTAGGGAGGGTCAAAGTTCTGCCAAGCACGTGACCTTTGCTGGCCTTGAGGCATGATGCCTTCTTTGCATATCTCTGAAATAGTCATGGTTTATTCCTACGTTGTGGCTTCCTGTTTCTGTGGTCCATTGTGTGAGAGTTGATTGACAACCCCAGCGAAGGGGATGGCTCCCCGATAGATCCATTCGTGCACCCTGTGCATGCCCATCGTGCCATCCTGGTTGCAATAGCTGTCGCCTGCCTTTCTGGGTACTTCTCCTCTTTCCCATCCTCCCACGCCTGCCTTCCTCACATTTTTCTTCCCCTCAGGCTGATCTCCGCTCCAAGGACAACACGCTGACCCTGTCCCCCAGCAAGGACCTGCTGAGCGTGAGGAAGCCCTCGGTGGGACGCACCCACTCCTTGCCAAATGACAGCTACATGTTCCAGCCGCCCTACTCCAGCCCCTGCCCTGCCTCCCTGGGCAACAGGAAACCGGCACATCACAAGTCCCAGTCAGGTACATGTCCTTCAGCTGGGACAAGAGCAGGATTTTCCAACAGAGCAACAGTTGTGGTTTCCCAAGCTCTTCAGCAGGAAGGAGAAAATTGACACTGGTTTCCAGTCGTGTGTTTAGACCTGTGGAATGGCTGTGAAAAGACCCTCCGCAATTTACAAAGCCCTGTTTAAGATAACTCCTTTCCTCAGAATTTTCTGGCAATGTGACAATGGCCTGGTTCAACATTGATTGTCTCCTGCTTGGTTCCCTAAGCCTGGGCTCTGTCTGTCCCACCGGGCCCCAGGGGAGAAATCCCACTTAGAGAAATATTTCCTCCTGTCTGTTTTTTGCAGCAGTACCTGTTCGGAAGCTCTGTCTGGGAACGTGTATGAAAGATGGGAAGAAGGTGTCTCTAAATGCCTGTAAAATGAACATAAATGTGCTGAACTGAGAGACATGTTGGTGTGAGATGAATGGGAAAATTAGAGAGTGTGGAATTGCTCTTCCCAGTGTGCATTGTTGGGATATATGTCTTGGAGTTAATTCAGAGATATTTTTAGGTACAGGGAGGGCTCTCCCTGCCTGCACCTCTGTCCCTGTGCTTGCAGCTGCCTCCCAGGGCTTGTCCCTGTGCCCCCAGTTCTTCTGCCTGCCAGGGGTTACCTGGAGCTGGGAAGTGAATGGTGCCACCTTTATTTTGTCTGTACATGCCATCATTTTAGAAATTTGTCACCAATAAGACAGGGAACTTTTTACAAGCATTGCCATTTGAAAGCCTTTAAGCAAAACATAATTTCAGCAATGTTCACAATGGTAGGAGATTTGAACAGCTTAGATATAAGATGTTGAAATTTGCATGGTAATAAGAATTTGGATGAATGGCAACTGTTGAACAGAAGCAAAAAAAATATGTGAGCACAAGGAAGGAAGATTAATCTGGTGTTGTGAGAAATCTCTGCCACAATACACAATTTCCAAGGTCAAGAGTGGTGTTTTGAATAACCTGTTTGCACATAATGCTGATGGTGAAGCTAAAATCCCATTGAAAGCAATAGCAAGTCTCCCCTTACTTTCAGCTGAGCTAGAATTTATGTCTCTGTAACAGTCAAGAAATTCCTGACGACATGAAAGAATCATGTTTGCTGCAGAGGGAATTTCCAGTGCTTCACTGTTGACCCTCAGTTGGGATGTATTTGCACTGTCTTGAACAAAAACTACATCAGCAAGGGACTGGGTAATTTATGAGTCCCTTCTTTTTCAAAATTTCCCTTCCCAGTTTCAATTTGGAGAACCTGAATAGCCCTGTCCGACAGCCCTGGCTTTCTGGGGACAGGCATTGCGCCCTTGTAAATCCACAGGAACAACTGTTCCACTGAGGAGTAGCAGAAATACTTTGGAGAGGTAAAGCTGATGTCTTATAACCACAATAAGCAATTAAACCTTTTGTGTTTTTCTCCTGCTGGTGAAATTCCAATCATCTTAAGCAGGCCAGAGTGCTGGGAGGTGTGTAACGTTCCCAGATTCTGACGTATTACTGTCCTCTTCCACCTACAATGTCACTGCTTTCCAGGGTGGGGGAAGTCACCACCACCTGTTTACAGTTTGTAATATTATAGAGTGCAGTGAAGACAGCAAGAGGTGCCAGGCGCCTCTAATAAATCACCACAACCAAGCCATAATATTTCAAGCTGAGAAGGTTTTGTTGTCAGAAACACTGGCACTTGCAGGAGGCATTTGTTTGAATACTCCTTGGTAATGGGGCTGTTGCTCTGGGAAAGATTCCAGGACAAATGAGATTCTCTGGGATGCGGTCCAGATTAAATGAATTGTTTTGAAAAATATTGAGCCTGTGTGTGAGGGGAGCACACAGAGTTTCAAACCTTTTAGAAGTAGTAGCCAGCAACTATGAAGGGTCAGGAAGAGGCTGGAGAGTGTGTTTCCTTCTGGGAGGCTGTGTAAAACCAGCCTTGAGAGCTGTCAGGTGCTGTTCCCTTTCACTTCCTTTCCAGTGTGTGCATGCTGTTTTGGAGATCCCAGCAGCTGGTCTCCATGAGGTTCGGGCATGGGGACACCTAGAGCCCTTCAAAGTCAGATGTTTGCAGAGCTCAGAAGTGAGACTGCCTGTGTATTTATTGGCCTAAAAGCAGAGATTCGGGAATTGCCAGCTCAGACGAACTCGTAGTTCCTTGTCTTTTTTTCTCAACAGGAGCTAGTCCCAGTTGTATCAGGGGAAAATGCCAAGAAAAATGAAATAATAGACAATGCTGGAGTAATTTATTAGTAGATGGGAGGTTTTTTTTCCCAGTTCTGGAGAGCCAGTTGCTGAATTCAGTGGTTTCGCTGTGCCTGTCTGGTCCAAGGTGCAGCAGAGCAGTTTTCCCTGGGAGGTCACTGAGGTTGGGACACAACCCTTGGATGAACATGTCCCATTTCTGCCTCTTCTCCCCCTTGCAAGGTTCAAAGGCATCGGTGCAGTCGCAGCCGGCAGACACCAGCTCCCTCCTGCAAATCCCAAAGGACCACTTCCACCATGTCAGAGCTCAAGACCATTTGGTGGGGGAGAGCAAGCCCCAGGTCTCCCAGCAGGCACACTCCCCTTCTGCTGAAAGGCTGCTCCGCAGACAGGTAAGCAGAGTTATGATCACAAACCTGCTGGGCTTTTATATTGATGCATTTCCTGGTGAACCGTGCTTTAAATTCAATGAGGGATTCACAGAGAAACCTCCAGAGAACTGTAATTCTCCTACAGAAATAACAAAATGGTTGATGGTTTTTGATGTGAAAGCCATCCAGGAGTCTCCAAAGAATGTGCATGATGAGTATCATGTCCTTTGGCAACATGCCTAAATGTTCTCCACATTGTTAGCACTTTATTTTTTCTAATCCTCTTCATAAATGAAGCCAAATGCTCCCCAGGGTCTCGTTGGGGTTGAGGAACTCATTCTTAACTGCTGTGATTTTTTTGGTGCTTGAAAGGACAAATGGATTGCAGGCTCCATCCCAGGCCACCCCTCCTCTGACTCCTCTGGTTTTCCAAAAGAGGAGTATTTCATGGAAATTGGTTATCTCACATGCAAAACCATCATGAGAAGCATACTGGTTTTGCAGTGAGAATTGAAAATTAAAATATTTTTTCATCAACTGTGAGCTTTTAAAAAGTTTGACTTTATGCACAACAGAACATATTTTATTTTACAGCCAGTTTTATCTCTGGTTTTTGCCTGGCATTGATTTAAGTCCTGATTCAATCAAAGATCTAAGGGATCTAATCAAAGATTCCAGTCTGGTTGATTGGAAGCATAAGTTAGACTTATCTTTTTTTAGTAAAATACTTAAACTTGTGCTTCACTCTTACATTTTTAAGCATATTTCAATGATTGTGCAGCTGGACTGGGACCAGAAGCACATCTGATTCAAAAACTCTGCTTTATTCAGTATTTCCATGCCTGATTTTACATACACAAAGGGGATCAGTTCTATTTTTTCAAAAGCAATTTCTTTCCCGTATAAAAATATTCCCATTTCTTTCATCTTTTAATCAACATTGACAAATTAGACAGTTGATTCATTAAGCTCTAAAAATGGATGTGAAGTACCAAGGTTAACAATTACATTAGTCTGTAATACTAAATTGACATAAGAAATTCCTTGCATGTATTCATTTGCATGGGGTTGGCCATCTATCCCAATCACCACTAATGGGGAAACTAATTGATGTCATGATTCCAGTTCATAACCACTCTCTCTTGCTTTCTAATGAATAACAGACTCATCCTTTTGAAGCGATCTAGCCAGAATAAATTACCATGTTAGCCATCTTCTCCAGCCTAATTTTGTTCACATCTTTGACGGCTTCTTTTTGTAGACCTTTTCATATGTTTAAGTCAATTTATTGCCCTCCTTTCCTCCCTCTCCCTGCCCATGCAGTGACATGAACATGCTCGTGGAGTGACAGGTCAGAGAGCAGAGAGTTTTGTGGCAGTGAGCAGATACAGTCCATGGGCAAGCCCATGAGTGGTTGCCTTGGGCAGGCTCCTGAGCAGCAAGGAGCTCCCTGTCTGGCTAATGGGAGCAGTGAGGTTGTTCTGGTGATATTGCTGTTACTGTTAATTGCAATCTAGACAGTGGGAAACTTGGTCCTTTAAAAGGCAAAATTCCCTTTACAGCCCCAGCACTTCTGCTTGCTCAAGTGCTCTCTACTTCACTCCTTCTTATTGCTACCACTGGTATCTCACTAGCACATCAAATAGCCCAAACTGGCAAAGCAGTTTGGTTTTCAGTACCCATTTATCCTTATCTTTACATATACTGCATGCAATTCTGATTTGGCTTTTTTTTCTTTTCCTTTTCCTTTTCCCCCCTCTCCTCTCCTGAATCCATAATAGATAAACCTTGTCCATCACATACCTGGTCCTTGCACTTTCCCTGAGCATTAAAACCTGTGTGTTTAACCTCCCTTTCCCTCCAGAGTACTGGAGAGCAAGCACAGCCCCCACAGTAACTTCCAGTTTAGACTCCGGAATGTTTGACAATTAGCGATGCACTTGCAGAGGAAGATGAGTGGATCGGATACTTTGGGAAAACATTCGTGCTGAGGATTGCAGTGCATGGCACAAAGCCTTTTCTCCAGAGGAATTCTACCTGAAATTAAACCTATATTGATTTCGTAGTTCCAGGACTCTGTATCAAAGGTGTAGCCCACACCAAGCTGTGGCTGCTACAGGTGTACACCCCTCTGAGATGACAGAGGGTCCTTTTATTTTCCAAACAAACCATTAAAACCAGTAAAACATTTGTACTTTTACTACTAACAACAACCACAGATGCCTGTATCATAGAGAAAGAAAGAGCTGGTGGTGACTAATACGGTCGTGGTGTGCAACACAGGTTGGTGTGCAAGCAAAAGTAATGACAACAATTACTTTTTGCTTCTGTATTCAACTTCCGTGTGGTCTGTGTCTCTTTTCAGGATATGAACATGATTTCTTCTCCCAAATACTCATTAAAACTACTGGTGCTGAGGAGACCAGAATAACTTCACTCCTGACTGATTAGTTGCCAGCATTATGCTGTGAAATTTTAACTAGAAAGGATTCACCAGCACTGGATGAAATTGTTTGCCATATTAAATATTCTTGGAGCTGCTCCCACTGACAAAGGGAGCGCAGTGTGCAGATGCTGCATTAGACTATGGTGTTTCTGTGTACACATGGACACGCTGCAGCTGATGAGAGCTTTGCTGAATAGAGATCATTTGGCTCAAATGATTCTTGTGGGACAATATTTATATAAAGTGTATGATCATTTTAGGGTGATTTGTCACAAAAGTATTCCTTAGCATGAGGAATTTCATAATTTCATCTCCTTACAGTCTTCTAAAGGACTGGGATCAGGTGTACACATTTCTTACAAATTTCCCTGTGAAGATTTTTATCTTTAAGATCATTTAAAAGTCTTGTCAAATGGATACTCTGCCTTTAAGGGCCAGTTAATGTGGCTGATTTATAAAGCCTTTTGACAAGTGAAAAGGTAAAGCCTTCAAAACATGCCCAAGGTTCCCTCTACCAGCAGGCACTGATGCTGTGTAAGGCTTCAGACAACCAAGGCAAAATGTGCCTTAGGAAGTCTGAACTTAAGCATCAGAATTAATTTAAATAATTATGGATTATTATTATTATTAGTCCAGCTTTGGACTCCAGTGTTTCCAGCTCCTGCTATAAGATGGTGCAGAGTTGTGGCTCCAGCCTAGGGACCAAAGCCAGGGACAGGCTGTTGCCTTGATGCTGGCACACAGCAGGGTTGCTGTGGTGTTGCTGGCTCTGGGGATCCTATTCCAGGCCCTCAGCATCACCTGAGCTAGAGAAGGGAATACACAGGCTCACTTGCACATCTTTCTCTCCTGCTCACACCTGGGCTGCTGAAATTATCGAGGGCTTTGCTGTAGACCTTCATCCTTTGCATAACAAGAACAGGAGTAAGTTTGGGTGGGGGCATTCTGGTTTTGCAGCCCTCCATCCTTAGCGGAGAAAGCTAAGGATCAACCATTTAGGAAGAGTGAATGGCTGTCACACAGGGACAAAACCACAGATCCCTGACAATGGGAACTGGTAGAACCCACAACACAGGTTGTTGTAGGAGTCAATGGGTCTGTGCTGAGGGATTTCAGCAGAGCTGAGTGCCCTGTAAATGCTGTGCCTTGCCTGTACTAACCTTTGTTTGGTCTGTCTCTCTCACCTGGCAACTCCTCTCGTCCCCAACCCCTCTGCGCTCTGATACAGATGGCTATAAGGAACGACTCTCTGGATAGCAAGGAGAATCTCCACACCGAGGTGAGTGAACTCTCTGACCCAAATGTTCCCACTGTGCCCAAGGAGGAGTCACCAGTGGCTCTGATGCCCTCAGAAGTGAATGACTTGGCTGCCTGGAGTCGGGCGAGCGTCCATACGCAGCAGCATTCCCACAATCAGTATAATATTTCAAAGCAGGCACCAGCATCCTGTGCTTGTGCAGACTCGTATCAGGAGACCCCTGAAGATTCAATGGACCAAGAAGTATCTGAAATAAACAGCTCCTCAGAGCCTTTCACTTCAGAAACTTGCACAGCCTCGAGTGCCTGTTCGGAGGGTCAGCCTCTCACACCTAAGAGGAACGTGGGCAATACCGGCAACGTGATACTGAAGGACCTGAAGAAATACCACAGTGCAGACACCCAGGGTCTGCTAAAAAAACCGCCCTCTTGGTTAGATGATCAAAGGAGACATTCAATAGAAATTTGTTCCATAGAAAACAGCCCTCAGCACCATTCCACGTCCAGCTCTTCTGGCTTTATAAGTCAGGTGGTCAGTGAAATGGAATGCTTGCAAGGTACACGGCAGAAGAAGAAACTGAGCCCTCCCTGTATATCTATAGATCCACCTGACGGGCAGAGTTTGGAACCTAGGGGACCCCACAGCATCTCACCTGCCAGTGGAGTCATTTGCTTGAGGAGGCGTGCTCCATCCTGTGAGTCCAAGGATTCGATGGATATAGGGGATTCACTGCTTCCAGACAGTATGTCAACGTCTCCTACCCCAAAGAAAGACTTGTTGACCCTTCCTAGCTTTTCCTTTGATCAAACGGAAATGGACTCCTGAGTTACTTTTCTGTTGGTGCCAAATGTCTTCTTCCTTTCATGTAATAGAAAAAAATTTTAAAAAACTCTGTACTCCAAAATGGCACTGGGTAAAAAATTTCCAAAGAAAGATTAAAGAACCAGCTGGTTAAAAGAGTGATTAACCTATATCACGCTTACTTAAGCATATGTTCTGCTTAGGTAAAAGCAATACAATGTGCAGAATCTATATGTATATTATATTTTATTAAATTAATTGAATCTAGTATCACGGGATGTAGTACATTTTGTGACTAAAGACTCATTTAATTTTCTTCTATTTTATGTATTTCGGAATATTTCTGAGATAAAGTTGGTTTTTATGAATATTTTAACCTAAAAAGTATATATTTAATCCCTTCTTATTTTTTTTCTTTTGTTTTGGTTTTTTTTTTTTTTTTTTTTTTTGTTTTGTTTTTGTTTTTTTTTTTTTGTTTGGGTTTCATTTTGTTTTGCAAAGCACAAAATGTAGCCAATTAGTGCATTACTGAGGAAATGTATCCCACAGTCAGCAGTAAATAAGGATTATTTAATGTAATTTATTTTTTCCCTTGAACTTCAATGATATTCTGGGAAAACAATTGTTTGCGTAGTACAGAAAAGCAGTCACAATTTTTTAACATAATATTCCAATCTTGCATAAAATTGACATTCAGAGTATGAAAGCAAGTGCTCAGACCCAGGAAGGTCCAACATGCTGATGTCTGAAGACGGTGAAGGCAGAGCCATTCAACAGTACAATATATTGAATTAAGAAAGGATCATAGTGGATGTTAGAGATAATCCACTGGCAACTCACAAAATCATGTCAATGGTTATTTTTCATACATTCCTAGGAAACAGACAACTGAGGCCTGTGGTCATTTGCAAGATGTTTTTGCAGTGTCTCCAGGATGGACTTTTTATTTTGCTGAGTTTTAAACCTCCCTCATCCCTCTGTTTTTAGTGGAGCTCCTCCTCTCTGCTCTCTGTGGAAAGGAGAATGAGATCAAGTTTAAGACTTGCAGTGGGTGAAATCAGGGCAGACATGGCAAAACAACAGGCTTAAGAACATGCCTAAAGTTAAGCTCTCGCCTAGAATGCCTGGAGGTTGATCATATTAAAGTAATTTTTGAAAATTAAAATCATGTGCTCATGTTCTACTGAATCAAGGCACTTCTGCAAGTTATTTTACAGATTACATGGAAGAAAGTCTGCAGGTACTGAAAGGACTGCTGATTTTCAGTAAAATAGCCAGGTATTTTGCTATCACTGCTAGAGTTAATTTACATGACCCCAACTGCAATTTTATTTCCAATCTATCAATAGCCTTAAGCAGCGACATGATGATACAAAGTGGATAAACCCAGAATTCATGCCCTTACTTTATAACATCAATCATCTCAAAAATTACCTGTTTACTCCTGTGCTAATCCTCTGCCAAAAGCAGTCTGTAAAACTGGACAGCACAGCCTGAAAACCACTTGAAGTTGGCCCCATTCGACACCTCATGACTGATGGAAGCCAGACATTAACTCCACTCCACTTTCATGAAATCACATTAAGATGTAAGCTAAATTAGACTGCAGGCATGCTTTGAAGTATGCCAATAGTCACAGGCTTGAAACCAAGTCCACAGATCGTGCCAGCACAGGCAGGAGGAGGATTTGTGCTAATTCTGTCAGTGGGGAGTTTGTAATTTTTTGAGGACTACCAATCTTTGCAAATCACTCCACCATGCTGATGTACAGCCTTTTATCCATTCAGAAATTAGGCTGTTTCCACCACGTGTACCTGCATTAGCTTGAAATGTACACACAAGGAGAAGATGTTGTTCGTACCCCACAGCCTATGTGAGGTCCTAAGCTCCTTTAGTTTCACTTGAGGATGTTTACTCCATAAACAATCCCTGCTGATTTACATGTCCAGGAGAAATGCAAGAGCTTTCAGCAGGAAGTCAGGCAATCAGTGTATTTGAAGGAGGTGGATTAACATTCTCTACTATTTAGTGCAGTTAGATTAATTCTTGGCTGGGACATTCTTCCCCTCTGCACCACAGGCCCATGTGGAGCCCGCTCTCTTTGATATGCCAGCCCACATCCAGAGTTAAGCCTGTCTAAAGCAATGATTTCAAACAAACCTTTCATCAGTTCTTCCCCCAATGATATTTAAGGAAATAATAAAATTACAGTGCATTAAGCCTGAGAAATATTCTTAATCCCTTTTTGTTTTTACTCCCATAGTGAGCCTAGCTTTTCCTTTTACATGTGCTAAATAGCTTGAGAAACTAGCTAGGCCACTAAAATTGGCATCCCTGGTTCCTCAATGATTAGGATTGTGTTCACATAGCTGGAATGATGCTACTTTTCATATCCATCCTTACAAAAAACCCACTGAACATTTTAGCTTGAAATCATGGCATAAAACAGTGATGTGACATTAATCCAAATGTTCAACTCCAAATGTAACAGAAAGCCTAAAGGCTCTTCTATTTTAATGCTTGGGGTTTTGCCTACTGACAAGGTTTGTGGAAGTAACAAAAAAGTTTACGTCATACATGAATATTCAGTAAAGACTAGCCAATAAAAGATCCTCGATGATGATGCTTTCAGGAAAAGAAATACATGTAAAATAAATTGTTTTCTAAACCAGATAAGTTTTTTCTAGATGCCCTTTTGAAAGACAAATACAAATGTACTGCAGCGCGTGCAATTATACTCAAATGATTTTAAATACCTGCGGGGGGGTTTTATAGAATTTGACTTTTTTAAACAAAATGTACAAAATCCACAGGAATTCTGTAGAATGGTTATGTTGATAGAATTTTTTATATTTTTGTAGAAATCTATAGAGAAATTGTTAAAAGTCTGCACATCATCTTGGCAACAGAAGCAGCTCCTATCTTCAAGTTTCTTTTCATAAACCTGGAGCCAGGCCTGCTCTGTTACAACACTAGAGCATTAGTTTCATAGCCTGCAGCCAGATTGTGTTCAGGAGTCAGCAGCTAAGCTGAAGTTCTATGATATTGCAGTGCTATTACTGTCCAAGGACTGTTCCCACCTGAAACACCCCCCCTCTCCCCAAAGCTCAGCCCCTGTCCATGGTGAAGTAGTTGCATGGCTCTCCAGCTCATTCAAGCACACCAGCACTTTACTACTGTGGATTTACTGTATGCAGATGGGAGGAGGATATTTTGTTATTGCCAATCTGACACAACGGGGGAAAAGAGATTGCAGACATGTCTGGAAAAATGTAAATTCCATTCGTGCAACCCCTCGCACACAGAAGTGATTTTTCAAAACTTGGTTAGAGGTTTGTAGTGTAGGTATTTTGGAGGAGGGCAAAGAACACTGTTTTTGACTTTTGTGGATTGCACTCAGCACTAGGTGTGTTCAAGGAGAAAATAAAAAACAAGAAAAAAAAAACAACAAAAGCATTACCACTGTAAATTAGGCTATGCCCCAGTCTCCCCTTTTCTGCCCCTTTGGCTATAATAACCCATGTACACTATTACACAAGGTGAGTAGAGTAGGCGCAGTACCATAGCAATGTCCATAATAATCTAGTATATATGACAGAACTTTGTATTTAATAGTTAATATATTGTTATACTGTATCAGGTATATAGGCCAAAACAAGGTCTTTTGGTCAGGGGAACAAAAGGTGGTACTCATGGGGAAAATTGCATTTGGATTTGAAAATTGGAAAAAGGATTGAATCCTTTTTTTTTTTTTAAAGAAAAAAAAAGACGAAAAAAACCAATGTAAATCTTTACAACTGACAAAAACAAATGTGTCCTATTAAAAATTTTTGAAAAGAAAAACAACGGTGCATTTCCCTTTTTTTGTTGTTGTTGCTGATGATAATCTGTATCACTCCAGGCAGTCAAGTCTTTGGTCATGTTTTAATTGTGAACAGTTGGAGAAGGTATCAGGTAGCAGCGGCAGCCAGGAGGCTGGAAGGAAGGCTGGGAAATTATGGCCCTTTGTGGAGCAGTTTAATGTGGCTGCAAGCAACACTGGCCCTGGACACTGCCCAGGGTGTGCAGAGTGACCAGCAAGACAACTGGCTGTGCCCTTGTGGATCCCTCTGCCCTGGCAGGAACAGCCCTGTGCAAGGCTTGAGGATGTTGGGACTGCAGCGGAGAGAGCTGCAGTAAATGGGGAGAAAGGACCAAGGAGAAGGGGCAGATCTGGTTTGTCTGTGAAGAGGAAGATGCTGGACTTTTTCACTCATTTACATCTTTGGGATTTCCAGCCTGAAATCCAGCAGCATCTCCTGCTGGCATTTAACTCCTTGCAAGGCAGGAGTTGGTGGGCATGGCACAGCCTGGGGGCTGAAGGGCAGCAGGGGCTCAGAGTTCAGCTACTGCTTAGGTACCACCAGAAACATTTAATAGAATGGTTTGAGTTGGGACCTTAAAGTTTATACAGTCCCACCCCCTGCCACGGGCCACGACACCTTCCACTATCCTAGGCTGCTCCAAGCCCTGTCCAACCTGGCGTAGGACACTTCCAGGGATGGGGCAGCTGCAGCTTCTCTGGGTATCCTGTGCCAGGGTCTCCCCACCCGCACAGGGAAGAATTTCTCCCTACTGTCTAACCTAAACCTGCCTTCCTTCTCTTTGAAGCCATTCCCCCTTTTGTCCTGTCATTACAGGACCTTGTTAAAAGGGTCTTCAGGGTTTTTTAGTGAATGACCTGTGTAGCTCCTAACATGAAATCTCCTCTCCCCTGGGGAGCAGCCACTGGAGGGAGGAACCAGACACTGGGCACTCTGCAGCCCTGCTCCTCACTGCCTGGAATGATCTGATTTCTCTGCAGCAGGAGAGACCCTAAATTGACATCCAGACCAGTTGTACTGTCTAGAGGATGTTTTGATAAAGTAATATCTCAGTAGAAAACAGCAGGAAGGATACTAGTCCTTAAACAGAGGGAAAATGTGGATCTACTAAAAATCCTGTGCAAATCCAGTCCAGGTGAGCTCTGTGATATGTCTGTGTTGTCCAGGCTGTGGGGCAAACTGCACCAGGCTGGAACCACTGAAATGCCTTCCCAGCCCTCCGATCCTGGAGGATCCACAGGGCATTAAGGTAAGCTGAGCTGAGCCAAGGAAGCAGAACCTCTTACAGGCTCAAGCACTTCACACCTCTCTGCTCTCAGTTGAGTTCAGTTCCTTATGGGCAAAAACAAATCACTCCCTTTCCAACATCGGGTTTTAGAGCAGCCTGTGAGAGGGCTTGTTTCTCTTCTCTGTTTCGTGAGTGTTCCTGCATGAAGCTCTCCTGCTGAGTTTTGCTGTGGTTTTTCAAAGGCTCCAACCCAGGCTGGCTGCTTATGGGTGTGCTCTCAATTTC